AAATATATATATATATATATATATATATATGAATTAATTGCACTGATGGTCCTCAAAGTTTAAGATTTGTCTCATTTTAGTCCTCAATATTTCAATTGCATCATTTTGATCCTTAAAGTATTTAATATATTTCTATGTAGTATCTCAAGTAGATAATATCTAAATTGCTAATAGTTTTTATCATAAATTTGTTACGTAATATCTAAAATTTGAATCGTTGTTGATCAAAATGTGTAATATGAATAGCTTTTAACTAAAATTTAGTTATCTCATGATTAAACTGTATAATTTGACTTCCTTGAGGGACTACATAAAAATATATTTAATACTTCAAAGATTAAAATAATATAATTAAAATTTTAAAGATTAAAATGAAATAAATTTTATATTTTAGGGACTTCCGGTATAATTAATCCAAAATATACAGGTAGAAAAAGATTCTTACCAGATTAGAGAGAGGCTAGATTCTAGAGAGAGAGAGAGAAACCAGACATACAAACACATACACATACACATACATGCTATACGATTTACCATTTCTCAGATCGAGCTGGAGCGATGAGGACTCTTTCTTCTCCACCTCCATTGCAAAGCTCTAGATTTTCCGTATTCCCGACAAACCCTCCACAAATCCACAAATTTATATACAATCCTTTCCTCATCTTCCTCATCTTCACCCTCACCCCCACCCCCACGACCTCAACTCATTCTCAGTTCCCCCAAATCCCATACTCGCCACACTGCAACTACGTCGTTGCAGAGTCACCCCCAACCAATACCCAGCTCAGCACCCCCAACTTTCTTAAATTACTCAACGCTTATTTCACCGGCGGCGAAAAAATTCTAAGTCAAAATCACCGACACTTGAGAAAATATGATCCGAATTATGTTTCTTTACAGACCAAAAATGTTTACCAAACTCAAAACGCCACCGTTTTCAAGCTTGATGGGATTTTGAACTTCTGGGGTTCAAGAATCTTCCGTCGGAATTTACGGCTTGTTCATTACCGGCCGCCGAAAATTCCGGTCAAGAACCACGAATCAGTTTTTCGGCTAAGTGGGTTTTGGGATTCAAGCTCTGGGAAGCTGTGTATGGTTGGTTCAGGTTTGGGATATTTACGTTTTGTTAATGTTGTTTTAAAGCTTAATTATCTTAATTCTTCGAGTATTTTTACTAGTTTGGTTAATGGTACATTGCAAAGCTTGGATACGGTTGGTGGTTCTACTTATTTTGAGCCTATTTCAATATTGGGTGTGAGCTCAATGAGTTATGAATATACATTGATTGATAAGGAAATTGAGAATAATGGGTTTAGGGTCTATGATAAGATTGAAAATGTGAGCCTTGGTTTGGAGCTGAATCGTAGTGTTTGTTTTGTAATTGACTCAGCTCATTGGTTTGAAATGGAAAATTTGGATGATTGTGGGAGAGTTAATTGCAATCCTATTAGTGGGGGGAGTAAGGATCCATTTCATTTTATGTCCTTCCACGAGATTGAGTGTTTGGAGGACGGGAAAGTGCGATATTTGATAATGTTTTGGAATCTGAGTCGTAATGCGATTCCAGTACCTTTTGATCCCTACATAACGTTAGTTGGCGAGGGGGCTTGGGATTGGAGGAAGAGGCGTTTTAACATGGTTGCTTGCCGAATATTGAATATTACTGATTCACTGGATAAGGGGTCAGTTGGGGATTGCTCGATTAGGTTGAGCTTGCATATACCTTCAACTTTGTCGTTGAGAAACAGGAGTTTTGTTGTTGGGCAAATGTGGAGTACTAGAAGCTTGAATGATTCTAGTTATTTTGGTACAGTTGCATTTCAAAGCCCGGAAAACAGATATGTGAGACTGAAGGGTCTGAATTATGAGTATAGTGAGAATGACAACGTTGGAAAACAGTGTGCAAAAAAGATGACGGTAAAAGGAAAGGGAGGGAGATACCCTGATGTGTACTCGTCTGACATGAGATTTGATATGAGAGTGAGAAATAGAAAAGGGGTAATAGGAACGGGTTACTCATCTCCGCTATATGTGGGTGATAAATTGTATGAGCACTTCGACAGGCTTGCATGGGCACCTGAGCACTTTGACAGACTTGAGCCTGCAGTTCAATTGAATCACAGCCGCAGCAGTGTGGTGAATATCAGCAGTGTGATAAGCTTTAGATCTGTACATGACTTCAAGCTAGATGATAAATTTCCTCAAACCAGGTCAGTAGAAATTTCTGCTGAAGGGATATATGATCCCAATACTGGACTCCTTTGCATGATTGGTTGTATGCATCTTGGATCACATAAAGAGAAACTATCGAAAAATGTTTCAGTGGACTGTGAAATTGTTGTCAATGTCCAGTACCCCCAATTGGATTTAAAGGCCGGGACCAATGCAAAGGGAACCATTGAAAGCACACGCAGTAAGTCAGATCATCTATACTTTGAGCATCTTGAGTTCCATTCATATTCCATTTACACAAGCCAAGCCAAAGAATCCATATGGAGAATGGATCTGGAGATCACCATGGTCCTAATTTCAAACACTCTTGCATGTCTCTTTGTGGGTCTGCAGCTATTTTACGTGAAAAAGCACCCAGATGTGCTTCCCTTCATTTCTGTGATGATGATTATTGTTCTCACTGTGGCGCACATGATCCCGCTATTGTTGAACTTTGAAGCCCTATTCTTGGCAAACCGTAATAGGCAGAATGTTTTCCTTGGGAGTGATGGATGGCTCGAAGTAAATGAGGTGTTAGTGAGGGTAATAACTATGATAGCTTTCCTGATGCAGTTCCGTCTTCTCCAACTGACATGGTCTGCTAGAGTAGGTGGTGAAAGCCAGAGAAACCTCCGGGTTGCTGATAAAAAGGTTTTTTATTTGTCTTTACCTTTGTACATAGGCGGTGGTCTGATTGCATTGTTTGCTCTTCTATGGAAAAAGTCGCACCAGAGTCCATTTCTGCGACCACGCCGTTTGCGTTACCAGCAGCAATCTTTCTGGGGCGACCTAAAATCTTATGCTGGTTTGGTCCTGGATGGTTTTCTGCTCCCTCAGATACTGTTCAACTTATTCTGCGACTCCAGAGAGAGGGCTCTTGCGCCTGCCTTTTATACAGGAACCACTCTTGTTCGCTTGCTGCCACATGTATATGATCTTTACAGGGCTCGTAGTTCTTCATGGTTCTTCGATAACATCTTTGCGAACCCAAGAATGGACTATTATTCAACTACCTGGGATATCATTATTTCTTGTAGTGGATTGGTTTTTGTTTGCCTCGTTTACTTGCAGCAACAATTTGGTGGTCGTTGTTTTCTTCCCAAAAAGTATAGAGAGAATTCTATTTATGAAAAGGTGCCTGTGGTTGGCACTGAGTGAATTATCAGGAGAAGTCTTTGGCTAATTTTCTACTCTTTCACTACTAGAACGCCTGGTACAGACTACTGCAAACTCATCATCGGCACAGAAAGAGAACTTCGACGTTTACAAAGGTAACCACACATAGATTCCATTCATTCTGTGATTTCAAAGAATGTTCTAGGGATAAGGTCTGATTTTGACCTGTTATTCTTTTGATATCTGTACCTAGCTGCTTTTCGATTATTATCCCCGTAAGTTATTAACACTAGTCTAAATGCTGAAATACCATTTCTTTTACGTGCTTCTTAACCTGCTTACACTTTTCAATTCTTGGATGGATTGTGGTTAAATTCTTAAATTCTGCAGTTTATTAGATATGCATGTTACTTGGACTTTGAGAGGAGATTGCCATGGTTGTAGATTGTTGTAATCCGCATCCATCACCACTGACACTGCAATCTTCTTGATTTAGCAGATTTCTGGTTTCCTGTAGTGTTAATTTAACAGTGTCCAACATGTTGAGCAGAGTGGAGTATGTTACCAAGGAGCCAAGTTTCGAAATAGCAGAAAAATCTTACTTGGTTCTATATGGTCAAATTTCATACCTTTGAAATAGTCTGCAACTGTTTTTTTTTTTTTTTGGTTCCAGTTTCATGTTTTAGAAGTTCAAGTTCAGTTTGTTTGCATAGATTTTTTTTCTATTCACCTTACTGCTACACAGAAGATGGCTGTTGCATGAAGATCACTAGAATAAAAAGGATGGGAGTTGAGGAATTCATTCATGATTCAAGTTGCCATCTTGCCAATATTTACAAATGCATTTCAATACTTCGATGGATAGCCAGTGGAATGTAGCATATGATATCGTTTTATTTTTTGGTTCAGTTCAACGGATAGAGATGATCAAGTCAGCTTACGCGTATCTTGATTAATTTACTCTTCAATCAAATAAAAGTCGATCATCTATGTCGAAATTAGTATATTCATTAAAAATAATTCCCTCGTGGCCACCCAAGAAGTTGCAAATATTTAAATGCAAGACGTTTGAATTTACGATTTTTTTTTTTATTTGGTTGAACGGAATATTTGCCTTTTTTGTGAGACTATTTTGTGGGAGATTTCAATTTCCATTCTTAGTATAGATCATCTGTGGTGAATTTGGCACGAAAAGTTTAAAAAAAAAAAAAAATAATACAAGATATTTGCCTTTTCCATTGAATCCATCCATCAGTCGAAGTGAACCTCACACAGCCTTTTTGTTAGTGATCCATCTCTCAAGGTGATGTCTCTCTAAAAATATTCTTGAATAAATTACACATATGACCACCAAATTATAAATCTTGTATTAATTAAGTTTTTCAATTTTTTTTTTGTTAATTAAACACTTAAATTCTCTAATTGTGTCAATTAAACTCTTCTATCCACTTCTGTTAAATTTTTTACTAGAAAATGGTGAAGTATAACACTTATGTGACACAAATAGTTAGAATAAATTATACATATGACCCTTAAACTATGATTCTTATGTCAATTAAGCGTTTAAATTTTTTTTTGTGACAATTAAACCTCTTAACTCTCTAATTGTGTTAATTAAGTCATGTTATCTTTTGTGTCATAACACTCTAACAGAGGCAAAAGAGCTCAATTGATTAGAGAGTTCAATAACTCAATTGATACAAAAATTATAGTTTAAAAACTATATATGTAATTTACTCTATATTCTTGTTATTATTTCGACTCACATTCCCCAAAAAGTGAATCCCACTCTAATAATTTCAAATGAATTAAATACGTGCATTAAGATGCTCCACAATAATAAGGCCAATCACAATAATATTTTCCAGTGGTAAAGTCGAAAACCACCAAACTACAGGGCAATGCTGCAAGCTCCTGGAATTCTTGCTGTACCATTTCACATCAAAATGCCAATATGCCTTAGCAAAAACAAGGGAACATGTTTTCCCAAGGAACAAAAAAGTTTAACAAATTCCAATGTTCACATCTCATGCTGCAATTGAGGGTCATACCATGATTCAAGGTTGCGGTGACGATACAACATAGAAGAAAATATTGAACATTACGAAAAATTCAAGTCATATCGCGACGATAACTCGATGACTAAGAATTGATTCGGATTCAACTCAGACAACTCGGTTGAGTCTTGCGAAGCTCGAGATTTATATGGACCATATAACTATATCGTTTATAACGCAATCGACTCGTATCGGTATCGGCCAATTCTTTGAACCATGGACCATACACTTAACATGACGGCATTTTGGTGCCTCCTCAATGAATGCAAACAAATAGAACTAGAAATGTGTGTGGGTCATGCAAAGGGCAGCCAAGAACCAAAGAGCAATCCGAATCAAAAAAAATCGACGAAAACGCAATCACAACTCATTAGGCCAGTGCAGATGTTGCATCTAATAAGGAAACTATTTACACATCGCCAATAAACAATCGGGATGATGAACAAAAACAAAGGAAAAAATTTCTTAACTAACTGCTTAATGACACAGCTGCAAGAAAAGTTTAAACTAGAATGGAGTTCAATTCTCCCCTCTTGATCACAGCATCATACAAGAAACAACTTCGTCCGTCTGTGGAACATCAAAACACAGAAAGCCAGTCCATCTAACCACATATTCTACATTAGCATCTTCACAGAACCTAAAAAATTGATGCAAACTTTTAACAAAGAGGTACAATATATATGAGAATCATCGAGCCCTAAAGTGAATCATATTGAAAAAAATGTTCCGGTATATATGTGCACTAGGGATAACCTGTGCCTAAAAGTACGATAGAATGTGAATGATTTTGATTAAAATGTTAATGACTGTTAGATAAGTCTATTAGAGACCGTTGGATAGACTTATTAACACTTATCCTGTTTTATATTATAGGTACACCTTCACTCAATAGTACATTCCTTAGACAAGACTGCATCAGAAGTGCAAGTGGAGATGACAAAGAATAAAGTTCACCCCAACCCAAAATCGCACGTCTTGGCAATCAGTGGTGCCTAGGTTAGTTAGGCTTGAGGGAACCCAAGTTCACCCCAACCCAAAATCACAATCACACGTCTTGGCTCAGTCTTTGATGCTCAGAATATATTTTTTGCTTTTGAATTATCTGCTAAAACCATTAGAAAGGAACAAGGAATAAGAAATCAAATACTGGAGACAAGGGTGATGTTCTCTTGCTACAGTAGAGATAATTTACAGTGGTGGAATTCGGCAAAAACAACCCTATTTTCAAACAAAATTCTCTACTCAGAGAAATTCCCAATTCAGATTTAAAATATGTTCATTTTGGAAAACTGCTTGACATGTTGGCTTTATTATAAGAAAATGATACCGCTACGCATCGAAAGTTTCCGGTGCCNTTGATGTTGGTAACACCATAGGCTTTCCAATTTCTGAAAGTCTTAATTCATCTGATCTTTACTGGACTTGAAGACAACAGGCCTAAGCCTCCTAGTCATAGAGTACAAGATCATCGAGGGCATCTTCAGCCTCCTTAGCTATATTGTAATTTAACAGTGGTGACCCTAGAACCCCCCCCCCCCTCCCCTCCTTCTTTTAGATTAGATAAAGTGTCATTACCATTTGTGTATGTTAATAAACTGATAATCCATGGAGAATATGAATACAACTGTTGTCCTCTCCCCTTTTAGATTATATTACACTCTTTTTTGAAGAAGTAAATCAATGCATATTACTTTCCAAATGCAATCCAATTTTTTTTGCTATTGACTTTGTTTTCTCCATCAATCCCCTACATAAGGATTCGAAACCTCGACTTGGGTGATATTTAAATACATAGCAAAATTATCAGAAAAGGACGAATGATCTCTCAAGTAAAAGTTCCCCCAAGGATTCAAATTTTGTGCAAACTTCTCTTTACCTCCCTAGGGCACACTGCCTATGCAAATAACCCACAACATTTAAAAAAGCCGTATAACTCTAAAGGGGTGTGTGGACTAGAATACAGCACTAACTCCATTAATGTTAAAGGCGCAATGACCATAACCATCTCTCTTTCTTTTGCGATGGACCCCACCCCTACCCCTTAACGCCAGTAGCGCCCCTCATTGCTAAATCTGCCCAAATCATAGAACTGGACAAATTGGTAAGCAAATTGTTGACACAAACTACTGATTATACACACGCTAACCAGCAACTGTTAACAACTCATGCATATCCCCAATCACGACGACTCTGCAATCAGAACCTAACCCATTAATTTTTCAAAATTTTGGCTCTTGTACTAGCAGCTCAGAGGAGTATTCATCAGGAGTCAAGTTCTTGGGACCCATTCAAAAGCTAAAATCAAATCTATGACCCAGTTGAGGGTTAGGCTGCCTATAGCAACACCAGCAACATCCTTGAAGTGGTGGGTCTTTTAAGAGCAACATCAGCAACTCAATCGTCAACTCTTACAAGATATGTGGAGATGGCTCAGGCAATTGACAACGCAGGAGGACTCCTAGCAAAGGGATCTGATTTGGGCTCAACCAAAGCAATGGGGTCAGATAAGAACTAGGGTTACCAACGAGGGTAAAGGGTTAGAGCCCAGGTGTTTCTGGCCGGGGCTTATTCGGGGTGGTAGATGCCGAGGAGGCAGGGGTGAGGGTTGCGGGTTAAGATGAGAGACAATGAGAAAGAGGAAAGATGAAAAGCAGAAAGACAACTGGTTAGTTATAGGGTTGCCAACAGATCAGATTGAGATTGGATTTCTATTTATCCCAATCTAATCCAATTTTCTGAAAAAATTTATTTGCATAGTCCATATGTCTGTCAAAATTCAAACACTTGATCTGACTATCCAAACGATCCGATCCAATCAACTTAATGAGAGTTGATTTTAGCAAACTACATCTAAATTTAACTCCATTTTATCATGTAATCATTTAATGACATAATATATTAGCATACATTTATAAAAAACTTGGGCTGAACTATGATCAGACCAGATATTGATAAATCTAAATACATGAGTATGATAGAACGGATCTGAATTCGTATTTCCATAATCAGTAAAAAAATCAATACATATCTAACTAATCGGATTCATATTTGGAGCAGATTTGGATTAAAATGTGACCCATAGATTGGTCTACTTGTGGGCAGCGAACTGGCTGGACAGGAGGAAAGAGGACGGGGTGGCTAATGATGAAGAGGTGGCTCATATGTCTGGGGGCGAGAGAGGGACTGAGGGTCTTACATTAGGAATTTTTTATGGAAAGTCTCACCTACTGCGCGTGAATCACACAGCTCGTAGGATTGAAAGTGTAGCGATGCACTTTAGTCCATAAACTATATTGATGATTATGTAGACATTTTCAAATCTTGAGAGGGTTATGCGCATAGGGGCTATTACGAGGGGGTGAAGTGTAGATGTCAAAATGTTCTCTTACGTGTTTGCGTGCCTGCCTACCACCAGCTACGTGGAGAGCATATGGATTCTCTTTTGCATCTTCACACAATAGGGACTATTGAAGAGTAACCTATCGGTAATGGCATTTGTTGGTTAAGCAATTATAGTGCAAGTGTCAAGGAACTTGAAGGCAGTTGGCTATTCTGTCGGAAACCCTCACGAAAGATACATGTAAAATAGCACTAATCTTTCCTGCTTAAGCAGTAACAGGAGTTAGAATGGCCTGCTCAGCACTGTTGTCACCAAGATGAGACTTTTGGAAGATGGAAAAGTATTCTGAAAGAGGGTGGATAGGGAGAGAGATGAAATTCGAAACTTGGAACTAAATGTAGAAGTATATGGCCAAATCCGTTTCCCCAGTCTAATAGGCATGTATTATATTTTTATGCTCGTATTACATTTGCCGAACTCATCAAGACTGGCCCACTAGGACTTCTTACATGACAATCAATATTCAACATCATTAATAAATTGAAGTTTGAGACAGTAGCTCAACCGAAAAATGATTTATGTCACATAGAAGTGTCAGCAAGTGTCTTCCTTATTCAGATATAGAATGTTATTAGCAGTTAAATCTCATATTTCAGCATGTGCACACATATCTAGCAAGATGCAGTTAAAGCAGTGAGCTCACACATATACCCTGAACAATCCTGCAGATTATATTAATAGACTTGAAAAAAGGATACTACCTCATCACGTGTCAATGTTGGATTTTTTGCCCGTCAGAATACGAGATATCTGGAGGCCCCTGCTGAAACCTTCATTGAATAGGATCCTTGTCTGCATTGATTGAAACCCAGGCAACCATGATAGCAAGGCCAGAGGAGCCATAACAATCAAGCCAAACAGCATATCATAAAGACGTGCCAACGCTACAATAGTCTCCCACACCACAGTTGCCTGCAGAAAAGGCCTGAGCACCAGGGCAATAAGTATAATCCCCCATCCTGTAGGGATGAACGCCATCAGACTTGTCAAAAGATCAAGGAATTCAAATCGGGTGAACTCCAGCAATAGAACTATCACAAGTATCATGAGAAAAACCACGAGGAACTGAATCAGCCGATAGTAGATGTGTTCCTTTGCTGCATATTTATCCCGCGCATATGCAATAACAATATAAATTGCTACAGCCACTACCATGTATATCCAAGATAGCAAGTAAACAGAAATATTGGTTTTACCACCACTTATGTTCAACTGGTATACAATGCCATACTGGAAAAAGAAGAAACGAAGATCTAAAATTATCTCCAACAACTTTCCCCAGAGACCAGTTGTTCTCAAGTGGTCCTGTTCCTCGTACCACCAAGCTTCCCAGCATTGATCCGCTTTTGTAAAAACCCCGCTAAACCATATCCAATTCATGAAATCATCAAAGTCATACACAGTCTTTAACCAGTCGAAGCCGGAAGGGTTGAACACAAAAGGGGCCATTATCCACGACACCACGAGAAACCAACTTGAGATATTCATAACTATGTAAACAAAGGTATTCGAAGTAGCCAAGGGGCTATGTGAAGCATACACTATTAGAATCACGCCAAGCTCAATTGCCTTCACAAAATGGCTGCGGGCATATAACCTAAAGTTCTCAGTAAAGCTCTTGTGCTGTACAACAAAACCACGCCCTGTGGCTCGATACTTGGCACCACCATGAAGAATTGTTCGGCCAAAGAAATGCGAACGAGTTCCCATAGAAAAAGTGTAAAAGAGTGAAGAGAGCTGGAATTGCATTGTTATAAAATCCCAAACTGCTGGAAGGAATCCATTCTCTAAAGAGTTCTCCACAATCATAGGGAGGGCAGTGAACGCACCAATCTGGATAACGAACTGCTGGTTCAAGATTGTACCAAGGGCTTTATTGTTGCCAGCGTTGCCCGTGGCAGCTCCCTCAACACCACTGAGTGCAAGATAAATCCTGCCCCACAGGAATGTATAGACCATGATTACCATCATCATTGTGTTGAAGAAGAATCCCACAGTTGTATAGAAGAATGAAAGCATACGGAAGAAGTCCAGTCTATGTCCCAACCTATATACATCTCTGCTCAAAACCTGCTCACCGTTGCCACTAGCAACTTTGGCCTCAAACATGGAGATCTGATTCAACCCTACATCCCTTCCTTTTCCCACTTGTATGTATTCATGATGTGTCACATTTCCACCCCGCAGTGTGCAATTAAAGCCAGCAAATATATCCTCACTAATATTGATCACTCTAGAAGCCTTGCTGATGCCACCCCGTGTCAGAAACCAGAACCTATCAAACACATCTGGATGACCATAGTGCATTCGAATCTTAAGAGGATTTGCCAGCACTCGCTGCCCAAGTGTTACAAAACTCATCTCCTGAGAAGACATGAACCGCGCAAGTGAAGAAACTGAACCAGTAAAGATATTTTCTCGAACTCCCAAAATGGTGGGCCTCCGGATACCATAAAATCTTTTGAACTCCTCCAATAAATTTCGCATCTTGAGTGCCTCCTCAAAGTAGTTGTCCTGGTTCATGTCAATGGTCTGAACTGCATCACCTCGAGTGAAGATAATGGCGTGGTTCTGATTCTCTGGTTTGCCCTCCCCAAGCTTCAGAGGACCAGGCAGCTTTATGCGATAGATCTCCACCTCTCTCTTCAGTTGCTGATCATACTTCACTAGAACAGAATAATACTCAACCTCTTCTCTCCCCAAGTGAACCTCATCAACATACGCAACCCGCAGGGTCTCGTTGTTCTTCATCAGGTATAAAATATCCTCAGCACGAGAGTCTCCTTTACCCTTTTGATGTCCATACATCTGGCAGGTAACAACATAAGTATATTTCATCAAAGCACATCCAAACTCATGCCCTTTATACAAAAGACTCACACCACTACTTGCTCTGTTGAGATTTCGGGAAGTTGGTGGCATACCTGACCCTAGACCACCCAAACTGTTGCTCTGCGTTAGTGAGCCAAGCGAAGCAATTTCTTGTGATCCCTGCCTTATATCCATTTCAGATGCAGAATCGAGAAAAGCAAGCATCTTCAGAGCCCTGTAGTAATACATCATTCCCCTCACAGTACGGGATAGTGTCTGGCCTCTGTATGATGCCCAAAGACGTAGATCCCTTGCGTTGACAGTCCAGATATCATTGTCATTCTCCATGCCCTCTCTATGCATCCGCTCCATAAAATTCGTCCACTCATCTTCATAGATTTTCTGCAGATAAAACAGGGTGGAGACACCATCTTCGTTTGGACTCCTCAGCATTTCTTTGCCGTACAAGACTTCTTCATCATAGTAAGGAGTTAGAACACTAAAAGCCAACATTTTCTCAACATGGGGAGCACGCGGAATGTTCATAAAGAGTGAATTGCTAAAAAAAGAAATACGCCTTCTTGCCTCGATGTTTTTTGGGACATTATGCATTGAATCTCTAGATGTGAGGATTGTTTGCAAACGCCGCAGCTGCCTATAGAAGAAAGCATCATCTACATCTGGAAACTGAATAGCATTTTCAAAAAGCAGCCCTTCAGCGGTGGCAGCATTAAGAGGTACTAAGCCTTCCTGCCTCAACTGCAGGATGGACTTCTTCACTCTTGGGAATTCTCTCACTGAAAGCTCATACAAGGCCTGCAATACATTCACCACTGCACTCGTATCTTTCTCAGGTGTGATCAAAATCTCAATAAGAGATGTCAACCGCTCATGTATTGGAGTTAGAAGGGCCATCTTGTATGTCCCTGTGAACTTTTCAATCTGAATGTAGTGATCAATTTCCATGAATAATTTTGTGACAATAGAATGCTCATCTGTACCGTATTTAACAATCTCAAGAAGCAAGTATTTGACGCTATCATAAGCTTCAATGACTGCACAGCGCCTATACTCATTCTTGCATATCTTAAACCAAACCCACCTATCAGGTGCATCTGCCAGTTCTCCTGCCTGGCTGACAGCAAGTAGAAGCTCATTGCAAAGAAGGAAACATGGCCACCGTACAACCTTAATATCCCAACTGTTGGGTGGCAGTTCCATTAGTTCCAGTTCTCGATCACTGATGAGATCTTCCTCCCTCAGAGTTATAATTATTTCATTCCATATCAAGGCAAACCTTGTTGCTTCCACCTGGCTTGATTCAATCTTGTTGTAAGGCTGCCCAAGTCCATATCGTAGCTTCAACCGATGGATTGCATCACGGAGCTTGTGTACCAACGTTGCCTGTGAAATTGCGGCCTTACCCTCGGGCATCAGGTTAAACTGCAATGCACTTGCAAAGAACTGGAATCTAAGTCTTAGCTGTTGGAGGTTTCGTATCTCACCTAAATGTGAGAACAACCCAATAGCTGCCCCAACCAAAGAGGAAAAAACAGAATACCAGATTTGCAAATCCACTAAATATATCAAAACAACAGGAACCCACAACAACACTACAGCCACTCTATTGGTGTTAGTGAAAAATTCATGCCACCTGTATGTAATATTCCTGAGCTCCAAAAGTGCCTTTGTTGGACCAACCAGGGGCTTGATTTGGAAAAAATAACTGAAAGAGAATTTTGAAGCCAATACTACAATCCAGAACAAAGTGTATTTTATATTGTTAACAAGCCCTTCCCTAAGTCCCCGACCCACGAAGATACGACTGTGAAACCACCATGTGAACAAGTACAAAATCATCCAGTCTGTTTCCTCAATTACATTCCGAATCCATGGAAGAATAAAAAGAACTAAAGCCAGCAACTCTGGGATGATAAACACCAAAGCGGCCTTAAGAAACACTAAAATTCTTTGATTTGCATCATATGACCACCTCCCATCGGAATTCTTCTGGCTCCAAATGCTCCCATAAAACACCCCAAACACAATAGTCCAAGTCACAGCAACCATGCTTTTCAACACCATCCTCACGCCAAGCCACATTGTCTCCCTTGAAACCAAACTATACTGTGTCCCAGCATCAAGTACCGATTGAACAAACCTCAGCCCAGACCAAGTAATAAAAACAGTAAGCAATTCCACCTGTACATCCCGATTCTCCAATGCCTGCCATGGGAACTTCCTCCCTTCCCAAGCAACAATAACAGCAGCCTGAAAAAACAAAATCAACAACACCCATAACCTATCAAAGCTCCTAAAGATATTCCAGAAAGTCCTTTGCTCAACAAACCCTGTCTTCCCAACTCTCTTCTCCCCACTTGTCAAAAAAAAATTGCTTGAAACATCAATAGGCCACTTTATTCTCCGAAAACACCTCCTACTCCAGAAATACTCATTGATATCATCATAATTTCTCCAAGCTGTATGAGGTGCAGTCCCATTTCTACTCCTCTCAACCTCGCCCTTAATCGTAACATAAATTGGTGTAATTACATTATCTAAAAATGCATTTTGACCCGACAATGAAGGAATATAAGGGCGACCAGTATTTTCATCTATATGATCATCAAGAACGTAATTAAGTTCTAATGCCATGTGATGATATATGTAGCATAAACATTCAGGCATAAATCGAAGATTCGCAGCTTCACCCCATATCAAGAGAAATAGACAAACATACAGTAATTCCCGACGTTGGACGTCGGGGTTTTGGCGATTTGGGAGACGAATTTGGGACTTTTTGCCGAGATAAGAACACCATGAAGTATAGTTGCTGAGCAGCTTGTGCCGGAAATGGCGGAGCACGGTGGCGTCGAGGTGGTCCAAGGCGGCTGATGGTGGTTGGAGGCGCATTTGGGAGTTGGCCAAGTGGAGAACCAAGTGTTCCCTCTGGTTCCGTACGTTGTCGTTTTGGAAGCCAAAGAAAAGGCCTAACCAGTCCATGAGGTCCATGTGGTCGTGCCATTGACTGAACTGTGGTTTCCGGAGGTCTCCGACGGTGAGTAGGGCGGCAGCAGCTGCGCGTATCTCGGGGTACCGGAGAGAAGGGTGGTCGATTAAGAGGTTGTGGATGGGTATTATGTTGAAATGTTCCTGAAAATGCGAAGGCGGTGGTGGTGGCGCGTGCTGAGCGTAAGGAGGCCCACGGCCGCGCGTGGCTTGTGGGCGTTGTCTCAAATTCATTGCATCAGGATTGTCACAGCTTTTCCTCAACTGGCTTCCTATCCGAAATAGGTTTTTCCAACTTCCAGTCCTTCAACTATGGAGATTGTCAGAGAAAGTTCAAGTTACAGATCAAGAAACACATACATGTAAATGGATAGAGAGGGAAGGGGACTAAGGAAATGGAGGAGAGAGAGAGAGAGACGTTTGGGTTGCTTGACTGATTTGGCTTCTACAGAAGAGAGACGGTGGGGAGTTATAGACTTACAAGTTACAATCAGTCAGTGTTTCCTCTCATATCACGCGCCGTTCTGAGCGAGTGGGGATTACGTGGCTCATTTGATGAGTGAGAAGTGGACTAATTAGTGGACCCCACAGTCTAATCAGTTGCCATCAAAATTTGCTTTTTGGGGATAAGAGAATGTGTCCAACAAAAAAACACACAACACGTGATAAGACCTATCTATGCTCAGTTCAAAAAACATAAAAAAGGATAAGATCCATGTATATTCTTACTTTTGAGAAAAAAAATTATTATTTTTTTGTTTTAGAAAAAATCTATGGTATTAAAAAAAATATTTTGGTAGAACATTTTAATAATTTTTTTTTTTTCAGTTCTATTAAAGATAAATTATTCACGCCAGAACTAGAATATTCACGATGAATATATCTCTCATGACCTAACCCTAAAAAATTATCAAAATTTAAATTTAAAACGTCTAACTTTATATATTGTTTTTATTATCACTTGAACTACTCTTTTGAACTCAAAATTACACATTTGAAAGGTAAAATTACAAACTAAATGAGAGAAGTGCATGGTCTTGCCATTAAATTTAGGGAGAATTATATCTAAACCCCGAAGTTTATAGGCACATAATATTTAAACATATGTAGTCAAATATCCGTTGGTATATCTGTTAGTAAATTACACACAAATCTCCTGAATTTTGTATGCGTATAATATTTAGACTCCTCAAGTTTAAAATATTATATTTTAAATAAAAAATATTTCAATCAAATATAGAATATCAAATATTTTAAATTTTATAATAAAATTCATATTCTATTATATCATTTTATTGAAATAAAATTAAAAATAAAATTATTTTTTCTTAAAAAATTATAATTAATATACAATTATACTATCTATTAGAATAAAACTAAAAATCAAACAAGTAGTCTAAGTTATTCATAATAGAATATGAATTTTACAACCAAAATTTATATTATATTATGTCATTTATTGAAATAAAATTAAAAATAAAAATCTAATTTTTTTCTTAAAAAATTATAATTAGTATACAATTATACTATCTACTAGAACAAAATTAAAAAATCAAATAAGGGGTCAAATTATAATTAACACAGTATATTATAGCTTTAATTGGTGTAATTTGGTCGTTTAAATGACCAAATTAAATTTCAATAGATAGAATCATTGTATATTAATTATGATTTTTTAAGAAAAAAAATTAAATGTTTAATTTTAATTTTATTTCAATAAATTTCATAATAGAATATGAATTTGTGTTATAAAATTTAAAATATTTGATATTTTATCTTTGATTGGAGTATTTTTTATCTAAATATAATATTTTAAATTTGAGGGATCTAAGTATTACACGTTAAGAATTTCAGAGGTCTGGATGTAATTTACTAACAGATATACTAACAGACATTGACTATATGAGTTTAAGTATTACGCATGAATAAACTTTGGGGAGTTTGTGAATAATATTTTAAATGTCAGAAGGTCTGGGTGATTAAATAACAAATCTTCGAAAATTTGTGTATAATTCTCTCTTAAAATTAATAACTTTTGATACCATACCAATTTTTTTTTTTGAGCATCCTAAACTTTCCACACATTCATACACACATATATACATATGCCCAAATATATTGTTTTCTGATACATATAGCTTGGTTTAGTAATCACACATGTTAAGCATAAAAAGTGTAAAAGTGCATCACATTCTTTCTCATAAATGGCCTACTAGTGATGAGCTCACTATCATACTCTGTTTTTGTAACACAATAACTGTTAAAAAGGGGCAGAATCTCTGCCTTTTGATGTTATTCTTGTATCTTTCCCTTTCCCAAAGGAAATTTAATAGGGTAGCTTATAAAGGATGGGGCAGAGAAATTTAGTTAGGAATGACAAATAGAGGTAGGAGAGACCAATGCCCAGCTACAGAAATTGATTTTTAAGGGTGGATAACTTTTTTATTTTTTTCAATGGTCAGGAATGTTCGGATTAACTTACGTATATCTCGATTAATCTTTTTCATGATCTCACCAAAAGTAGGTCATCCACGCAAAAAATAGAGTATTCATGATCTGAATTTAATGAATTGTTATTCAAAATAATAATAATCAAAATTAAATAATAATTACGGCAACAAATTTATAACCACCAATATCTATATAATAAATCAACTAGTAAGTTGAATCTTTATTTCCTATACATTTTTTTCTAAAAAAATATTACATCACTCAATTCTATCACATGTTCAATCATTTAATATTTAGTTAATTTATAATTTAACACAATTTTTATTTCATACATTATTCATACACAATAGTATACACATATTGAAAAAAATTTATCAAGTTATGCATTTTGAGAAAATTTTGATGCTATTTTTAAAAAAATAATAGGTAGAAATTTATGTAAGCAAATAAATTAATTTTAAATTTAGTACAATGGAATCAATTTTTTGACTAGAATCTTATATTTCATTGTACCTTCAAGCTCGAGCTATGACTAGCGTTGTTATATACAAACTATTTATATAAAGCAGAATGTACAACCAAAATATACTTGCTTGCAAAATAACAATTAATAAGAACGATAATAAAAATCTAGAAATAATTCAAGCCCTTTATATTCACAATTTTCTTAAGATAAATTTACTCTTTCTTGGTGTTTAAAGGTTGATAAGCAACATGTAGCACTTCAATCTTGTTGATCCAAGGTTGGGTTGGATCGGGGCTTGGGCTTGGGCGTGGGCGTGGGGCGTGGGCAGGCGAGGCAGGTGGAGAGGGTGTGGTAATTAAGATTATGTAGGTGGTTGCTCTGATAGTGCCTTTGCAACCCTATGACACAGGGTTCCTACACAGTGGAATACAACAGTACTATTTGCTGCTTGTTTATTCTGCAATTCTCACGTGAGTTAGCTAAAGATCAACGCAGTGAGAATCTGTGTGTCTTTGAGATGGCAGATAATTGTAACTAAACTATATTATACATAAGATGTGGTACAATAGGAGAGAATTCAAAATGAGGAAGGCAAGGACCCTTGTAAGGCTTCAAGCACACAAATCAATCCATGTTGGTGGGTTGGAACCTCAATTTATCAGGCAAAATGTTCTTGGAACAACCAGGCATGGACGAGTGGAGACCACCCGATCCAGTTTTTTTTTTACTCTTGGTCGTGAAAAATCATTGGGGCAAAACTATGCGATGATGTGATTTACGTATATGGGCTGAACTCAAATCTCGATTCAAATGTGACAATAGAAAATCTAGTCATCCAACAGTCCAAGCGCCCTTACAAAAGGGTGGGGAAATGAGCTTGGTAAGAAATTTACCATGATGCGTTAGATGAGATGAGTTGAGTTAAGTTGAGTTAAGATGAAGTATCACATCAATTTACCTACTATTTAGCATTGAGGTGAAATCTAGCCAAATGTATACGACAGAATAATTGATATATGGGTGCACCTATACCTTGCATATAAGAACTTGAGAAAATCCATAAAATACAAGGTGATGCCTTTATACATGGATTTTGATGATGATCAATATAAGATTGCAGGATTTATGAAGTGTGCAACATCCAGTGTAAAAGGATCTACCCATATAGAAAGTCAAACCAAATATCTATGAGTTAACTTCAAGCAAGAACTAGTATATATATATAGATATATATCTATCAGTATATACATATAAAAACCTTTCTACTGTATATAATGGTGGACAAAAGGATATTCCTTTTGGATATGTGCAAACATCTATTTAAGTTTGAAAAAGCAAGTTTCTTTCTAAATAAGCAACAAGTTCGTTCCTATTTCAAAGCAGATTAAGGTTTCGATATCCATTGAAGGTTCTCAAAAAGAATCCACACCCGAATAGAGATGTAGTGATTTGGTAAATTCGCTTTTGTAGAGTTTTTCTCCATGGACCCATGTGCCATAACCATTCTTTTTGCTACCAAAAAGCTCTTTATTTAACTTGATTGTCTAACCCTTCTCCATAACCCAATGAACAAGCACTTAACACAAACTGTTCAACAAGTATTCAATCCAACATATAATACATAGATTAAATCTTTCCTCATGAACTGGGTCTTACACATTTCAAAAGTAAGCTTGGTCATCTTCCAACTAGCCAAAAATAAAACAAAACAAGAAAAAAAGGCCTGAAATTTTGACCAAATCAATGGCATTTTAGTGTAAACTCGGTTCTATATATTTTGATAGTATCAGTACGGTTCTGTAGTTGGAAAATTGTAAGCTGAGTTAAGTTTAGTAGCAATTTCCTCCGTCCTAAACATCATGAATGAAATAGCATCACAAATGAATTATGATAGAACATCGAGAAAGAAATAAATCATAGAACATTTTTTCTAAAACAAATAGACTAGAAAGTGTCGTTAGTCACCAGTAATCCATACAAGAACAAGATCCGTCCTTGAAATGGTGAAAGCGAAGCTTATCTCGAACAATAATCTCTCTGCTAGAAATAACTGAAATGAACTTGATAGCCATGTGGCAGTCCTCACAAGTACGAAGGTTCTTTACAATCCTGATGGCCATCCCATGGCTGGTTGTCAAGAGCCCAAATGCTATTGCAAGCTTCTCACTATGGTATCTAAGGGCATATTCCCTCTCCTCTTCTTCCAATTCATGCATTACAGACTCAGATGCTGGTATATAACCTGCATCCCTACACCTCTGTATCAGCTCATCTAAGTATTGATAGATTGCAGCTGTGTTGGGATGGGATTTTTCACCCATGCTAAATAAGTATGTCTTCTGATAGACCTCTATTGTGCTATAACCCACTTGTTTTTTTAGGCCTTTTTGGATCAGCACATTTCTAATGGTTTCCACTCGATCCATACGCCCAGCTGATGCATACATATTAGAAAGCAATACATAATTGCCTGGACTTTCCGGTTCAGCAGCTAAGAGATGGTCAGCAACTTGAACTCCAAGATCAAAATTCTTGTGGATCTTGCAAGCCCCAAGCATTGCAGTCCACACTGCTGGTGCTGGCTTGACAGGATATAAGTCTTTGATGAATTGAAATGCTTTTTTCAGAAATCCAGCACGACCAAGCATATCAACCATACAAACATTGTGCTCCACTCCTGGCACCAAGCCATAATCTTGCTTCATGCTCTCATATGCCTGTCGACCCTCCTGGATTAGTCCAGTATGAGCACACGCCGATAAGATGGCAACAAATGTAATATCATTGGGAGGTTGTCTATGGGCTCTCATCAGATAAAAGAGCTCAATGGCTTCCCTACCATGACCTTGCAGGGCATACCCTGAAATCATAGCTGTCCATGCAACAACATTCCTTTCACTCAATGAGTCAAAAACACCACGCGCTTTGATCACATGTCCACATTTAGAATACATATTAATCAATGCAGTGCCAAGAACCACATTCACATGAAAACCATTGCTCTTTACATACTCATGCACCCAACCACCCAACGCAAGAGCTCCCACTTGAGCACACGCAGACAACACACTCACAAAAGTGGCCGAATCAAACCCAACACCCAAATTCCGCATTTGACTGAACAACCCAATAGCCTCCTCAGCCAAACCATTTTGCTCATACCCTGAAATCATGGAATTCCACGCAACAACTGTTCTGTCCGGCATTTCATCAAATAATCTCCTGGCAACTATCAAATCACCGCATTTTGCATAGAAACTCACCAATGCAGCCTGTGCAAACACATCCGATCCATAACCATTTACCAAAACATGGCAATGAACAGCTCTTCCAAGTTTCTTAACCGATAATTCAGCACAAGATTTTATAACTGCCGTAAAAACGTAATTAGAAGGTGAAATATTGGAGACAAGCATGTGCCGATAAAAACGGACAGTTTCCAGAGGAATTTGAGACTTTGACGAGGCTTTGATGAGGGAACTGAAGAGGAAAGAGTCGGGGTTTGGAATGGAAAAGAAAAGTTGGCGAGCATAGACAATTGAGCCTGAAATGCAGGCTAAGGTGGTGAGTTTGGTGAGGAGTCGAAGGCTGAAGCTACAACCGGTGACAATGAGTTGGGCGTGGGCTTGGTGAAGAAGATTGACACGCGGACCAGCTCGGAGGAGAGCTTGATATATGTAGGCTGATGGGTCGCTAGGCTTCCGGAAAAAGTTTTCATTCATGAAAGATAGAGGGAGAAAGTGAGGGAAAGTTACACTGCCAGGCAATGGTGGACAGTGTTAGGAACTCATATAACTTCCCCTGAAAATCAGTTGCACGGATGGGTGCAGAGTTTATATACACTTATTTTTAATCCACGTGGAATCGTAATATTTCGAACGCAGTGAGCTGCAGCTCTATGTGATTGGGTACGACTTATAGCCTTGATTAAGATAATTTTATATTATATATGAACATAATACTATATTAAAAGGCCAATAGAACAGTAAAAAAAAAATTATTGGTGGATCAGTTTTGATAAAATGAATCATCGCAGCCGTCGGTTACGAAAACATCGATTACGAAATGTTATGATCCCACATCGATTAAATATAAGACTATATAAGACTAAGTGTGTATATGAAATGTTACGATCTCATTTAACGCAAACGTTTTGCATTCGGAATTACCCTTGTTTGAAGAATATTTTTGTGTGGGTGTGAGAAATCCAGAGTGACTATAATCTGTTTGGGAAACCTTGTGAATTGTCATTAAAAAAACCACATCATTTTCATACTAGCAGAACCACTTTCTGCTTCTTTGTTTATACCAGTTCAGCACTTCTCAATGCTATACAATCCCAGAAATGTTCATTGGTTTGGCAGGCAAGAGACACTTCAGTGAGTCAATGAAGTGCACAATAACTAATCCGAGAGAGAGAGAGAGAGAGAGAGAGAGANATCCGATCCATAACCATTTACCAAAACATGGCAATGAACAGCTCTTCCAAGTTTCTTAACCGATAATTCAGCACAAGATTTTATAACTGCCGTAAAAACGTAATTAGAAGGTGAAATATTGGAGACAAGCATGTGCCGATAAAAACGGACAGTTTCCAGAGGAATTTGAGACTTTGACGAGGCTTTGATGAGGGAACTGAAGAGGAAAGAGTCGGGGTTTGGAATGGAAAAGAAAAGTTGGCGAGCATAGACAATTGAGCCTGAAATGCAGGCTAAGGTGGTGAGTTTGGTGAGGAGTCGAAGGCTGAAGCTACAACCGGTGACAATGAGTTGGGCGTGGGCTTGGTGAAGAAGATTGACACGCGGACCAGCTCGGAGGAGAGCTTGATATATGTAGGCTGATGGGTCGCTAGGCTTCCGGAAAAAGTTTTCATTCATGAAAGATAGAGGGAGAAAGTGAGGGAAAGTTACACTGCCAGGCAATGGTGGACAGTGTTAGGAACTCATATAACTTCCCCTGAAAATCAGTTGCACGGATGGGTGCAGAGTTTATATACACTTATTTTTAATCCACGTGGAATCGTAATATTTCGAACGCAGTGAGCTGCAGCTCTATGTGATTGGGTACGACTTATAGCCTTGATTAAGATAATTTTATATTATATATGAACATAATACTATATTAAAAGGCCAATAGAACAGTAAAAAAAAAATTATTGGTGGATCAGTTTTGATAAAATGAATCATCGCAGCCGTCGGTTACGAAAACATCGATTACGAAATGTTATGATCCCACATCGATTAAATATAAGACTATATAAGACTAAGTGTGTATATGAAATGTTACGATCTCATTTAACGCAAACGTTTTGCATTCGGAATTACCCTTGTTTGAAGAATATTTTTGTGTGGGTGTGAGAAATCCAGAGTGACTATAATCTGTTTGGGAAACCTTGTGAATTGTCATTAAAAAAACCACATCATTTTCATACTAGCAGAACCACTTTCTGCTTCTTTGTTTATACCAGTTCAGCACTTCTCAATGCTATACAATCCCAGAAATGTTCATTGGTTTGGCAGGCAAGAGACACTTCAGTGAGTCAATGAAGTGCACAATAACTAATCCGAGAGAGAGAGAGAGAGAGAGAGAGAGAGACACACACACACACAGAGACCAACATAAAGGTATGCTGTGAGGTCCAGGCAACACAATAGCACACCAAACTATACAATGAAGAAAATTGCCCACTCGAAGCATAGGGCAAATTTTAGCAACAAACACACCTACCCTGCACCAATTCGGAAAGTTTGGGAATGCAGTGGACGCATGCTTTCCAGAAATTTTAACACTACGAGTACTTGTTCTTGCTATCATAGCGATCAAGCATTAAAGCAACCTCATCTATATCATGGTTATATCAATCTGGCAGCTGAGGGTAACTATTTTCCTGCTAACCACACCTTAAGATTCACGACACAAATCAATCAACGTGTACATGATTGAAAAAAAACAAGGTTGAGAAGGGGGGGAAAGCACAGAAAGTTGCCAATAAAAAAGCCATTAACTACAGGAATCCTATCGCAGCACTTCATTAATTTCAGGGTACTCATTGCGTTCTTCTACAATTCAACTCAACATCTTTAACCATCGTGTTCAACTACAAAGGCAAATGAAGGTTTGCAACGAATGAACTGCCTTGTTTTCACCAGAGAATGCATTCATGTGCCTCAAAAAAATGCGATTGAGATGGAGTTGTTACATGCCCTATAAAATGTTTGGTTCATATTTCTAAATTTGAACCTGCACACTCTTGATACCAAAAACATGCGAATCATATTTCAAATTACATGCATGGTTTATTAATCTTGTTGCCTTTCTGTCCTGTCCCATGATATGTTCAATAAAAAAGTTGGCACCTTTCTCACCATCTGTCTCACTACATCGGTAAGTTTCAGTAATGATAAACGTGATCACTGTACATGTGAGCTGTCATATTCAAGGATTGAAGCATGGCTTCTCCTCGCTTGTTGAAGTTAAATACTGATATTCCCCCATTATTTATATTAATTGCGCGGAACCTGAACCACCAAAGTCACTATCAGCAGAAAATGCTAAGAAACTGAAAATAATAAATATTTCTAACAATGCTCCATGATAGAATAGAGTTAAACAGCAGTCCATATGATTCACAAAGGAAATGGTGAAGACCACTATGAACTTTAACGAAAGCAGACAGCATAAGCTACGGATGCTAGTGTGATAACAAGAAGTTTTAAGAACTATATTGTGAGGAGAGAGATAAGACAACTCAATGCGAAATTGTTTAGTCTTGGCCATACAATTATGGTAAATACAATACATACCTCTCTGGCTCTAGTCCTAGAGCAGTGCAGATCAGTGCCCTCAACATTGATTTGTGAGTTACTACCAAAAAATTCTCTCCCTGGTGAATATTATAGATAAGTTACAGATCAAGAATGAGCCTAACATGGCCACATGATAATTTGGCAATATAGTCAACCCAAATAGATACATCAGCAAAAGGATCTTACAGGTGTAAATAAAATTTCCTTCCAAGCTTCACTCGCTGTTTCCCATAGTTTCAGAACAGGGTAAACACCATTCACAGAAAAATTAGAAGGATCTTCTCTCCATGTTGTATACTCCTGTGGATATCTCTGCCTAGCATCCACTGCCTCCAAATACTGAATTTGATTTAGTACGATGCATATATAAATGAAAGTGTGAAGTTTAGTAAACTCAAACAAAAAAGATAAACACTAAATTTTACTCAAAATTATTTTTTCTATTTCCATGACTCAAGTCACATTGAATTTATGCAATTACTGTATGATCAACCAAATTAATGTTGCCATTTTCATGTTGTATAACAAGGAATATTGTATGTCAACCCTAGTAGTTTTAACTTTTAAGTGCAAGGAAATTTTCTGGAACTATGTGAACAAGTCAAACAAAAGGCACAGACCATTTTTCATGCCTTCAAGATAAAACAGATGGGCTTCTTCCAGTGAATTGAGAAAAACCAGTGGCTCTTCCCTCCCTTGCCATATAACTTCTGCAGTGGACTGCATCACATACTCCCGTTTGAGAAATCTTATACATGTTAAGTGTGCTTAGCATACCAACTTAATTGTGCAATCCAAACCTTGGCACGAGATATTGGACTCGAGAAACATTGATCAAAATCCATATCAGCTAAAGCTTTTCTGCACCTTTCTGCTTGCATCACTCCAATTTCTGTCAAGATAGACAGGTTTGAGCTTCCCTAAATGTAAAAAATCTCAATTAGCAGCTGCAAATCATGAAACAATAAGATACAAAGCAAATGACCCGCATGGAATTGAAGATTCAAAATAAACTATGACCCAATATTCTTCACCATAAGCAATTAGTCAGCAAAAACCATCAAAATATAAGGAAAAAGCACTTAAAATAGGTCTTAAACCCTACTGTTTTGGAACCATACAGAAACAGAAGAATAGGTAAAAGTAGACACGCAAAGCGAAGTGCTTCAGTAAGTAGTTTTCCCATCCACCAGCCCTGTCCAGTTATACAGTTTAAACATTAGATACACATCTGTTTTTTCACCCAAGTTCTTTAACTTATTCCAAATATCGATGGCAAGACACTATTGTTATCTGTTTAACATTGGCCATTCTCATTGAATCCTTGTCTATTTTCCTCGATTTTGGCATTCCAGAGAAGTCTCAGAGGAAAATTATTTTCAGTAGTTGAGCAACACCCATCATTTATCATATCCTTTCTTCTTCCTTTTTCCCTTTATGTTTTCCCAGGATGTATGTTAGTTTGATAATGTCTTACTGATTTAACTATATGGATTGATGATCCTATTAAAGCATCCCAAAATTATCATTCTCTTCTAATTTGAAAGGGAAAAAAGAAATTAATTTCACTGTATGAAAATCCCCAAGTATGTTGAAGTAGACAACAAGAACTTATTACATATCAATTGATATATAGAAAAGTGATCTCTGTAATGCACGCTTATATAAACACAACTTTCCTAGAATACATCATTCTTCCGGAACCATATTTCTAAAGCTAACTTACAATTAGAACACAGTGGATGACTTTAATAAGTGTACCCCTCCACATATTTTATCAAGCTGCCCTGCCTCCATATGCGTTCAGTAGATGAAGCTAAAACAAATATGACAGGCAGAAGGAAACTAAATAAAACAATAAAGAATCACAAACCTGAATTCTACTTTCTTCATTCCAAGAGCTAAGTCCATGCCGTATAAGAGTGACCTTTTTGGGTGAAGACATCAACTTCTGAGTAAGTGAAGTAGTTGCATTTTCAAAATCGTATGCTCCACCAGTCATGAGAGAATTGTTTTCAAGTTTCCCTGTTATAGAGGAATGGTCAAAGAAATGCTTTTGTTGGACAAGGATATACAAGAAAATCACAGTAAGTTTTGAGAAACTATTGTATGAGGAGAGAGATAATCAACAACGAAGAAAGAGTTGAATGAGAAAGGCATGTTGAATGCCCCAAAGCCCTTCAACTAAGGTATTCCATGTAACTTGGTACCTCCAAGTAGATATTTTCACCTATGGTTACATTGCCACCCACATAAAGATTAAATAGTATGGGTCCTTTACTAATTACTATTGATTTACGAAACATTGGATTGATTATATAGTTCAATACTTGGAATTTAAGATCAGATGTAGTTTTATATGCAAAAGGAAGCCTTTTTTCAAGTCCATGCAAAAACTGACCATTTACTTCTGGAAAGTTGTATCCAAATCAATCAAGTAGAAAAAAGGAACTATTCACATCCACTCACGTCGAGCTTCTGATCTGCTATGGCAGTCTATTTATCCTCATCTCTGATAATCTCTCTATTATATAAAGAATTTTATTTGAAGTTCCTGACTCTTGGTCATATTAAGAGATAACTAACGGATGAAATGTAAGCACTAAGCACATTTTTTCAGAAGGTGAATCCAGAAAAGCAGATTGCCAAGGTATGTCCTTTTTTTTTTTGTGGTGAAAGGTAGTAACCTCATTAAACAATCCAAATAAGCCTAGGTTACATTTTTTTTTTTGGGGGGGAGGAGGGGGAAGGGGTTTGAACCCTTAACTTCAATAAGATAAAGCTTTCACAAGATAAGGAATACCATTAGCGCAAACGTCCATTGGTTCATAAGCCTAGGTTACATAACAGCCGTAATATATCGGCCATAAGCTGGTCCTTAACACAGTCCAAAATACTAGGGTATGCCCTTTCACTACTCTTTGCTCAAGTGTTTAAATGGTGTCAATCGTGCCGTGTCATTTTTGGTTCATGTCAATAAAAAATTATTTAATTCCAAAATAACTAATGGTATTATGTAAACAAATTTAAAAAATTATAAAAGACCTATTTTCTCCTTGCAGTACTAGTTAATTGTGCCATTCATATACAACATTAAATTGACCCATTTACTATTCGTGTTAATTAGCCGTCTTATTTGCGAATTTCGTGTCGTGTTAGTGTGGCAATGGATAAAATTGACTGCCCTTACAGACAACACAGAAGGGCGTCATGTAGTTACAGGACCAGCAGTTTTAGGCTGAGTTAAGCCACTAATGCCTTCTAGCCATAAAGGGCCGTCACAAATTCACAAACCCAGCAGCATTTTAATATTCTGGAATATTATAGGCATATAAACTAAACTTCCAGCAATTAATTTTAAAATGGGCTCTCCTAATTTCCCAAAACAAATTCAGAATTTAATCATATTTTCAAGTTTCAACACGAAAATATCCTAAAATTATCCTTTTCCCCAGTTTAATTCTGGGTTCACAACAGAAACATCATCCAATACAGCATGATAGTCTCTTCTCTTTAGTCATACAAAGAAAGTTGGGTTCTGTGCTTACCAGTTAATGGGAGCTCTGGACTTGAAGATGAACATAGAACTCGAAATGTTCGTGGACATGAATCGTTTTGAAGCTTAGGAAACCTACTGGAACCTGGAATTGAAGCCCAAGGCAAAGTGGTGGTTGCCATAAGGACTTTACAATTCATTTTCTGTGAGCTTTGCCCAAGTGAGAGACTTGGTCTCAGCTTTGGTCTTCCTGCATAGGAGGTTCCTTTTCCTATACCATAGAACATGATGGGTGATAATTACAAATGAGGTTGGGGAGATTTTTTGCAATGACTGTGCATCAATGGTGTGGTGGCATTTCATGGTGGGGACAAGTGAGTTCATTTAATGGTGGAGATTGATTTGATTGGATTCTTGATTTTTTTTTTTTATTTGGATAATTGATTTTTTGTCCTTCTGGATTGTTTTTTCCCAAGGATATACTTGCATGGAACAGAAGATTCTTGTTTAGGTGCTATTACCATTCTAGTCTTCTTGTTTAGAATATTTGTGCAAGGAAACTTTTATATCTAAGTTACCATTTAATCAAGTTATAATTTAATGAGTTAATTTAGGATTGAGTTAAAGAAGCTCGGATCAATTCAAAAAGTTTTAAGATCCATCTCAATTTTTCTTAGGATTGATCTAAAACATATCGATCTCGTTAATAACTTTGACTATTTGTAACTTGTCATTATTCAATGCTAACCATTTTTCATATTGTAATATTACCACAAATTTACTTTTAACTTCTGCTGATTTTTCTCTTGTTTGGGCATCATAGAGGAATTGACTATAAGAAAATAAAACAATAGTAGGCTGGATCACCATTCTACCAAGAAAGTTCTATTCTCATAGACAAACACGTCTTGAGTTTGAACTTTGACAATTCATTTTGGTCAAGTAATGAAGAATTTATCCTTCATGATTACTATAGTTTTGATGTGGATAACTTATTTTTAACCGAACCGGAAAAAAAATTAGTCGAGATGTGCATAAACTGACTCGAACGTCCTTAACCGTTGAAAAAAAAGAAGAACATAAGAGTATGGTGTTCAGGCAAAGGGAAGTGGCCCAGTGTTAAAGTCTCACTCCAGTTAGGTGGTTGCGAGTTTTAATATCATCACTTTCCCATTCCCCTCTCACCAACCCCAAAAAAAAAGTTACAAAAAGAAAAATGAGTGATTGTCATTTTTCGACCCTTACTACCAACCAGAGAACGGACAACTAATGTCTTTCACTTGTTGAATAGGATTCTATGGTCAGTTAACCAGCATTGACGTGTGTTAAACTATGTGGAACGGTGGAAGTTTGCACATAAATCTTGAGTGTATATGTAAGAACAATGATCCTAAATAACAACTTCTTTGACTAGCCTGTTTAAGTGAGTTTCCATGGTTACTACATATATGTTAGTCCACCACAAGCTCCCTTTGTTTAAATGCTGAACTGGATGAAAACAACTAGAAGTAGTATAAGACTGTTCAAAAAAACAAAATAGGAGATGGATAAGATGCTCAGACTTTAGTCTCTTCCTTCAAACTACATAGCAATCTATAGATACAGTACATTCATTTTAAAAGATATACTCTATTGTGATCTGGAGGTCACGGGTTCGAGTCATGAAAACAATCTCTTTGCTTGTGGGGGTACGGATGCGTACATTTAACCCTCCCCATATCCGGCAATAACAAAAGTCTCGTACACTGGGTACGCATATATAGATATATAGGAGAGGACCTGTCTAAGATTTGACAGTGAGAAGATTAATGACATTGTGAACTGTAAAGGGAGTAAAGAAGAAGAAGAAAGTAAATAATTGCAGCAACAAAGCCAGCAATAAGAGCTCCTGTGACACGATCACAAAACTTGGGAACTTGGCCACAGATGGGTAACCAACCAGCATGACTGTTCCCTTTCTTCCCCACCTGAGCTACACCCAAAGCTGCTGATATGCTTGAAACAAGCATCAATGTCATAATCTGTAAAAGTAAAACAAAATCAGGATCGTGCCATACAAAATCGTGTCACAATGGGTTATTGTCGGGGGTAGTGAATACGTTACACTACACGTTTAAATAGATTCGTATTTGTATTTTGTTTAGTTATGTTGACTCATTGTTTCATGTCTCTGACCTTTCTAGACTTAAAACTCGAGCATGCTAGTTTCGAGATGTTTGGTATTGTGAGGTCTAATTGCGATCAAAGAAACTATCAAGTAAGAAGAAAGAAAGAATTTCCATTACCAAATCTAAAACCAACATGAAACGCCAAAGAAAATTCTTGGAAGGAAGAAAAAGGACTATGAGGCTATAGGCGCTTGCAATCGCATTTACAACCACAAAGTACCTGCACCAAAAAAATTTAGCACAAAGTCTAAGAAGAAGCCACAAGAGTATGGTGATGGGATTATGATTTCTTGATTACATGTGAAAAATGAAACATACTTGAATGTTGGTGAATTGGTATATTTTGCTTGGAATGTCATGTTCAAGACTTGTGCAGAGTCATGGCTTGTGGCCATGACAATAGTGGCTGATACTGTTGCACCCAAGGCTATGACCCTTAACAGAAAAATTGGGATCTTCTTGGCCTTAGTCATGGGGAGAGAAAGAGAGAGAGTTGTAGTTGGGATGAGTATAAACTGTTTGATGAAAGGAGAATGGAACTTCAAATGTCAAGACAATATATGCATACATGAACTATATGTGGAAAGAAAAGTGGAGTGAGAAAGGTTAGGTGTTAGGAAAGGCAGATAAGGGGGGTGGCGGATTTGTCCTCTTGCCAATTTTATAGGGTCAATGTTGTTGGTAACCTAATCACAAATGAGTGCACAAATTTTTTGTGCCATTTTTCTCTTCTTTTTTTTTCGGAACAGAGAATCATCTCAACCACGTGTTCTTTCAACTTATTCCTATAATGCAAATCTCAAATAATCACAATTACCTACTAACTTCCTTTCATCGGTTATACACGAGTTTTGTGCGACTAAAAAGACTCAAACTCAAGATGTGCACGTTTACATCGCGACAATTCTTCGACTATTAGAATGACTCAAACAACTGGTAAATATGCATTGTTTGGAACTAATAAAATAATAACAGCTAGTGTATCAATTTGTTTGTTGTTACAAGTGCACTGATTCATAGGGGTTGTTGCATGCAATATTGGTCCCTCTGTTTTGGAGTAGTAGCTAAGAATCCTTGGACAATTTTTGTGGTGAAATTTGAGAATTTTCAGTTCAACTACCCACCTGTTGAATCTGTACGGCTCTCACCAGTTTTTTAAACTACGTGGGGCATTGAAGTTGTAAAATAATGGCATTTTCAAACTATATGTGCCAAGATTCACAGTTAGCTTAATGGTCATTGCCCCCGCTGGTAGACCATAAGATTGTGGGTTCGGACCTAGTCCTCCCCCTTTATATAATAGTGCTTAACCAAAATATTGAATTTGAATAATGGCATTTCCAAACAATATGTGTAGAGGTTAGGTCACCGCCCTTGTTGTTTCATCTTAAAATTGCAGGTTCAGATCTCGATAAAAGAGGAGAGTTGCGTTTCATAATTGACATTAAACATAAAATTATTAGATCCGCAATAAGTATAGATCTTGATAATATTTGAGTAGAATGACATAACATAATGCATATAGCCGGTCTCAAATATTCAGTACAAGATTTTGTGAAGTTGAATAGAAACGAGAACACTTGTGGTATGGCAATCAACCCCAAGTGTTTTTTCCTATATCCTTCCTATGTATGTGTTGGGATCTCGACCCAATCTAAGTAGCTCAGTTGTGCTTGGTCAAAACTTGCTCAAGCTTGATTTGTAGAAGCTTACGAGCATTTGAGCTAAAATCAAGATCAATTTTGCAACAATAACATCTCAAAAATTAAACCCTAAAAATTTAATGATCAATCCCAAAGTAATTAATTCCTCAACAAAACCCCTCCGGAATTTATATAATGAACCGATACAATTAAACCCCACAAAACTCCAATATCCCAAAACTACTCCTTACCACCACTTTTCCGAGAAAACATTTAATGTAACGGTGACATCACATTATCAATATCACGTAGTATCACAAACCAATTAGAATATCATGTGAATTTAGTGAGTATCATCATTTTAATAATTACAAACAACTACCTTATCTAATGACTGTCATGTCAAAATAGCAGGGTTTGTTAATTCTATTTAATATTTTATTAATAAATAATGATATTATAGATTAATGATCACATGATATCACTATAGCATCACATATTTACTCCAATTCACGTGCACAAATAATTTCTTTTTTTTTTTTAAAAAAAAAGGCAAATTTGAAAACAAACAAAAAATTAAAATATTTTCTACCCTTTTATGGTCGGTCGGTCCAATGGGTAGTGCATTGAAAAGCCATTAGGATTAACCCAATGAATAAGCTCACCCAATTTTATACCATCGTAATTCACTTACCATAGACTTTAAGTAAAATTTATTATTTATTATTTATGGGCGAAATTCTTATCTAAATATAGTGAGTAATTTGCACGTGAGTAATTAAAAATATAATTAAGAGAATCTAAATCTCACTCTACCTTGAATTAGTCAAAGACAAAAATTTGATAAGTAGAAGAAAAAGAGATTAACAAGATATGCGGATAATTTTATTGTAGTATAAATCGAATGTTTCTATGAACAGTAATCAACAAATCTTCCCTTATCGAATGAAAGCTAGTGGCCACATGTGAATTCTTTTAAGGCAACGCACGACCTGATTCAACATTATTGTTTACTTTGATCAACTTGAAGTGTTTTTGTTTATCGGTTCCATCGATCCGTTGACTAATTAATGATTCTACTTATGTATCCTAACTTCGCTAATGAGATAAGGTAGTTGACTTATTTACTGGTGATTGATGTTAGAGAACAAGTCCTCCGTCCCAAATTTCATGAGCGTAACCACCCTAACCATCTGGTTCCGACCTATTACTTACCACTATTTTTTTTTTTTTTTGTTAGGAACAAACATAGAAAGAAACGATGAAATTCAAACTCACCGCAATGTTAAAGCTGTGTTAGTCGTTAGGTCAACAGCTAACTTCTTCGCAACAAGTTGTTGAAGTGTATAATTGTGATTTGTGAGTGTTAATCACATGCCGCCTTAGCTAATCAGTCATCACCGCTCTCCTCTAAAACCTTTGAGCCCCACCATATATAAATTACACCTCCCAGGCGTCAACCCATTTCTCTCTCTCTCCTCTTGGACTCTCTAAGACTGTCACCCATATTTCTAGGGTTGTGAACTTCGAACTTCTTCACTTGAATTGCACCGTAAACTATGGATTTGGAAGAGGAGTATGAACCATCATACAACGACGACGAAGAAGAGATAACCCAAGAGGACGCTTGGGCTGTGATCAGTGCTTATTTTGAAGAGAAGGGTCTGGTTCGTCAACAGTTAGATTCCTTCGATGAGTTCATTCAGAATACTATGCAAGAGATTGTGGATGAGTCGGCTGATATCGAGATTCGCCCCGAGTCTCAGCACAATCCTGGTCATCAGTCTGACTTTGCCGAGGTTGATATCTATTCACTTGATTTTGGTTTCTAGGGTTTTTGGGCTACTTCTCGAACTACGCAGTGAAAAATTGGGATATTTTTGATTGAAAATGGATGCAAAAGTAATTAGAATGGCTAAGTACAGCAAAATTTTGTGCCTCTAGTATCAAAGACCCTGGTGTTCAGTTCTATTAGCTAGTTTTTTTTAGGATTTTTTGAGTTGTGATTGAAGGAAACTGAAATTTTGGCTGTACTCGTTTTGGCGAAATTCAGAACTGGACCATTAGTGTCGTTTAATATTTGGAACGACCTCGAAGTTTGCTCTTGGGGTTTTTTTGGTGATTGTTTGAAGAGCCTATTAGGTTGGTGATTTTGTCTCAAAGACCCAAAAAAAAGATTTGTGGTCTTTTGATTGAAATTGAAGTTGGTTTATACATCAGGGTTAATTGCTGTGATTATTTGTGGAGCTTTTTGAATCTTTGTGCTTATGTGATTAATGGGGCTTGAGGTTAAGCGATTTTACTTGGTTTTGGTTCCATTGAAGTGGGTAGTAAAGGTTTGTGATTTTCTAATGGAATCTAGATTTTAGAATTGGTTTGGGACCTTTGGTTAGGTGTAATGAATGGTTGATGAAGTTAAATGTTTTTTCCACCCGTTATGATTCAAGCCATGATCCTAAAATGGTGTTATAGGATTCTAGATTGGGAAAGTCTGTCTTAGTCTCGGGCACTTGGTTTTTACCCTTTTTGTTTGTAGTTTTCGGGTATTTGAGAAATTCAATCCATTGAGTGCTCATTTGGCAGAATGGGAATACATTGAACTAGATTTCATGCTACCAAACCCTGCCTCAAGCATTTAGCTATGCACGAACTATAGTTATGTCAGTTGCTGCATTTGCGATATGAAATGGTGTTCTTGTGTAGTCGTGTCTTGGCGGGTGTTGATGAGGAGTAGTAGTTTGATTGAAAAAGAGGAATTGGATAGATATACATGTTCAATGTGTAAGATTCATTGTTTGCATGGGTCTTACTTCGGTTCTGAGGTTTCTTATTGTTACTAGGCTTTCTGTGTCGTTCTTGAGGAGCCCAAGTTTTGAGTTGTTTCGAGTGTGAGATGAAGATGGAAGGAGTAGAATCACTCGTTAGTTGTTATAATTGGTTTGGATTTGTGTATGAGGTTTTTGGTAGAATTCCTGTGAAGCACATCAGATGTTCTAATGGCTTGAATGAAGTATGGCTTAATGTTTAGATGTAGAATTGTGTCTTAGTTAATTGTTTTAAAATAAACCATTACATGTTTGAGTTCAAATCAAACAAACCCTTGCTAAATATACAATAAAATATATAAATAGAAATAACACCCCTGTTCCCTCAATGTTTTTTTTGTGTTGGGTGGTGGGGGTGTGCCCCCATTGTAAAATAATATAAATGGTTTGTTTATCCCAATTTACTCAAAATTTGTGAAATATGGATGGGGTCTTCAGGTAGTCCACAGCTAGACTTGAGAATTCATGATTTTTTATTGGAATTCCCAAATGATTTTCTATGGATGAAATATCACCTCGCATTTGATGCAACTTTGACCATTTGGTAAATTTGAGGTCGTAGTTATCTTTCTTTCTTTCTTTTTTTGGTGGGAATAGATAAATTTCATAGTTATCTGCTAGCCCAGTATATCAACAGTCCATTACGGTTCTCATATGGCAAAATCTCGGTTGGTTACCATCATCCAGGATTAAAAATTAAAAACTGCTACTGGGATTTTGGGGGTTTAAACTAGCCTTTCAGAGCTAAATCAAGGCGATGTTCATATTGTTATGTCAATAAATTTTCGGCTAGTCTGATTAGAGTACAGAGAGGTTAAAAGCAATTTTGATGGTTCTAATATTACTTCTGGCATGATTTACTTCCAGACCATCTATAAAATCGGCTTTGGTCAGATATACTTGAGTAAGCCAATGATGACAGAGTCTGATGGTGAAACTGCGACTCTGTTTCCTAAGGCTGCAAGGTTGAGGAATCTAACATACTCTGCTCCCCTGTACGTCGATGTCACAAAGAGAGTTATAAAGAAAGGGCATGATGGTGAAGAAGTCACTGAAACTCAAGATTTTACAAAAGTCTTCATTGGGAAGGTATATTAATTGAGCTTTTAATTGACCCACTGAAGACATGAACTTTAGGTATTGATTTCTCTGCTCATTTTCTGTTGTACATGTTTAGGTTCCTATAATGCTCCGATCGAGTTACTGCACACTATGTCAAAATTCAGAGAAGGATTTGACAGAGCTTGGAGAGTGTCCGTATGATCAAGGTGGGTATTTCATCATCAATGGGAGTGAAAAGGTTCTAATTGCTCAGGAGAAGATGAGTACCAATCATGTGTACGTCTTTAAGAAGAGACAACCAAACAAGTATGCCTATGTGGCAGAAGTCCGATCGATGGCAGAGTCCCAAAACAGGCCACCTAGTACCATGTTTGTGCGGATGCTCTCTCGGACAAGTGCCAAAGGGGTAATGGGCATTACTACGGTTTTTGGGTGTTTAATAGAAATATAGTTTTGCTCATATTGGTTGATTTATAATTTCCATAAAATTGACATGTGCTTTGTTGTTTATGGAATGTAATGGTAGGGCTCCTCGGGCCAGTATATCCGTGCTACCCTTCCCTATATTCGGACCGAGATTCCTATTATCATTGTATTTCGGGCATTAGGATTTGTTGCTGACAAAGATATACTAGAGCATATTTGCTATGATTTCTCTGATACTCAGATGATGGAATTGCTGCGACCTTCCTTGGAGGAGGCATTTGTTATTCAAAATCAACAGGTACCTCTTTTGTAGCATTGAGGTCTCTTAAATGATGTGAATAGTGGGATGTTGTGATGCTGTCTTTTGGTAAAAATATGCTGAACTTTGGATGAAACATTGGATTACCATATCTTTTGTTGCTTATGTTGTCATGATAACGTAACCTTATCAGTTGTACCAGCTTAGCACTGTCGTCTATGGGTTGCCTGGTTTTATTCTTGAGTGTGGCGGTTTTTGTTTTTTGTTCTAGTTAGAAGTTTTAATCGCTTAAATATTTCTCATTAGGTTCTAGCTACCTGGACCACAAATTTGACTTTAGTTCAATTATTTGATTATGATTGCCCTTTGAACAGTGTGTTGATTGTTAGTGCTGTGATTCTTGCTTGTTTTTAAATTTTTCCTGTTCTAGTGGGGTTAATGATGGCAGTAGAGCCTTATGGTGATGGTCAATTTTTGCCTCTTGTATGTAGGTTGCTCTAGACTACATTGGAAAACGAGGGTCTACTGTTGGTGTGACAAAGGAAAAGAGGATAAAGTATGAATTATGCCAGTAGCTTTGCTTGGGCCTCAAGCTGGCCCATGTGCTGCTTTTTTATTGATCTCCAGTTCCTCTACTTCACAGGTATGCCAAGGAGATCCTTCAAAAGGAAATGCTTCCTCATGTTGGAGTTGGAGAATATTGTGAGACAAAAAAGGCTTACTATTTCGGGTAGGTTTTTAGACTCTGGACATGTAATTTTCCTTGGTGGCTTTTTAGTCATATTTAAAATATATATATACTGCTGCTCGCCCCAGGTATATCATTCACCGGCTCTTGCTATGTGCACTTGGCCGAAGGGCAGAGGATGATAGGGATCATTATGGCAATAAGAGACTGGATCTTGCTGGTCCTTTGCTTGGTGGCCTGTTTCGCATGGTCTGTAGTTGTCAATGTATTTAGGAGGTTGTCTGACAACTAAGAATACGCCATTGCTAATCTGTGTATGTTTTATTGTTTCCATGACTGCAGCTGTTCAGAAAGTTAACAAGGGATGTGAGAGCTTATGTTCAGAAGGTTATTTCTGAGGCATTTTGTACTTTATGTTGAGGCTTCTTTTTCTTGGGTTTTTATTTGCATAATCTTCTGCACATACAGTGCGTCGATAATGGGAAAGATGTTAATCTGCAATTTGCAATTAAAGCAAAGACAATTACCAGTGGCCTTAAATACTCACTTGCTACTGGCAACTGGGGGCAAGCAAATGCTGCGGGTACAAGGGCCGGTGTCTCACAGGTTGGGTTATGTTCTATCTTTGTTGGTCTGTTTGTTTGGAGATTTCATTCTCTTGATTTATGCTTTTGAAAATTTCTTTTACTGGAAGATATATCATTTGGAAGTGGGCCTACCCATTTTTTTAACTATGTTAAATGAAATTTTGTAGGTTTTAAATCGCTTGACATATGCATCCACTTTGTCACATCTGCGAAGGCTAAACTCTCCCATTGGGCGTGAAGGTAACTTACGTTAAGTTCGTGTAGTGACGTCAGTCTCTCCCCCTATCTCACTTCCATTCCCACCCACATACACACAGAGGTGCATCATATTTCTACACCTGACTGTTGATTTCTCCCAATCTTGTCCTTTCTACATTTTACCAGGGAAATTGGCAAAACCAAGGCAGTTGCACAATTCACAGTGGGGAATGATGTGTCCAGCAGAAACACCTGAAGGACAAGTGAGTTTGCTGTGTAGTAGAAAAAACTGCAGCATATGAAGCGTAGCCTTCTTTTTAATTTTGTGCTTATGGTATTATCTGGCTGTTGAACTAGGCATGTGGACTGGTGAAGAATCTAGCATTGATGGTGTATATTACAGTTGGTTCAGCAGCATATCCTATTTTGGAATTTTTGGAAGAATGGGGTACTGAGAATTTTGAGGTGAGCTCTCGTAAATCGTCAGTGCATGGAAGCTGAATTATAAGCTTCTTTTTCAGGATTTCATTTTTTGTGGTTCTATTGCAGGAAATTTCTCCAGCAGTGATTCCCCAAGCTACGAAAATCTTTGTGAATGGTTGCTGGGTTGGTATCCATCGCGATCCTGACATGTTAGTAAAAACACTGAGACGGCTGAGGAGACGGGTTAGTATACGCATATTACAATTTTTTGCAGAAACCTCATTTTTTAGCCTATTTTTTGATAGAAATATTTGTTTTTAGCCTATTCTGATCACGTTTTAGCAGTTTTGAGCTGCAAGTGCCCTGCATCATATCTTCGTATCATATCATCAAGTCTTTTAGCATGCACTGGATCCTGTTATATATCGCGTGACAATTTTTCATGGATTATCTAGACCATATGTTAAACCGTGTGAGCACATATCTAAGTATTGAATATAGTGATGTGAGTATTTACTTTAATGGCCACTTCCAAAATGTGTTTAAAAATGTACAGGTTGATGTCAATACTGAAGTTGGGGTGGTTCGCGATATCCGTTTGAAAGAACTGCGGATTTACACTGATTACGGCCGTTGCAGTCGGCCATTGTTTATTGTGGAGAAGCAGAGGCTTCTTATAAAAAAGAAGGATATTGAAGCGTTGCAACAAAGGGTATGCTCAACTATTTCCCTGCCATTTGTTTGTGCATATGCATGTGTAAAGTTTATATCTTTTCTTATTCATTATTCATTTTCAGGAATCGCCTGAAGAGGGTGGTTGGCATGAACTTGTAACTAAGGGATTTATAGAATATATCGGCACTGAAGAAGAAGAGACTACTATGATTTCCATGACCATTAATGTGAGTACCCAAGAACTGAAGTTAATGTGGCACATAGCAATTTAATGCATTAATTTACCAACTCTTCAGGGCTCTATGAGATACTGAAATGCTGACGTTAAATGTTCTAGGATCTTGTATCTGCGAGGCTCAATCCAGAAGAGGCTTATTCTGACACTTACACCCATTGTGAGATTCACCCATCTTTGATCTTAGGTGTTTGTGCTTCCATTATACCATTTCCTGATCACAACCAGGTTGGTTTGATTTGCTGGTGAACTTTCCTAGAGTAAAATATATCACTTGTTATCCTACTCATTTGTTGCTTTTGCTATCAGTCTCCACGTAATACATATCAGTCAGCTATGGGTAAGCAAGCCATGGGAATTTATGTGACCAACTACCAATTTCGAATGGTATGACAATTTCTCCATGATCTTGATCTTTTCCTGTGGACCTTCTGTTCCCTGGCTCCTTGGGGTTACTTATATTCTCTGATTCTTGCAGGACACATTGGCTTATGTCCTTTTCTATCCTCAGAAGCCTCTTGTTACTACTCGAGCCATGGAGCATTTGCACTTTAGGCAGCTTCCAGCTGGCATTAATGCCATTGTTGCCATTGCCTGCTATTCTGGATATAATCAGGAAGATTCTGTTATTATGAATCAGTCATCAATTGATCGTGGCTTCTTTCGATCAATTTTCTTCCGCTCCTATAGGGATGAGGAGAAGAAGATGGGGACACTTGTTAAAGAGGATTTTGGACGGCCGGATAGAGCTAATACCATGGGAATGCGGCATGGTTCATATGATAAATTGGATGACGATGGCCTTGCACCTCCAGGAACAAGAGTTTCGGGTGAGGATGTAATTATTGGGAAGACTACTCCGATTGCTCAGGATGATGCCCAGGGACAAGCTTCACGTTACACTAAGCGTGATCACAGCACAAGCTTACGCCACAGTGAAACTGGGATAGTGGATCAAGTTCTATTGACAACAAATGCTGATGGGCTGAGATTTGTGAAAGTAAGGGTGAGATCTGTTAGAATACCACAGATTGGAGACAAGTTCAGCAGTAGACATGGTCAGAAGGGAACAGTGGGTATGACTTATACACAAGAAGATATGCCATGGACTGTGGAAGGTGTCACCCCTGATATTATTGTGAATCCTCATGCTATTCCTTCTCGCATGACAATTGGTCAGCTGATTGAGTGCATCATGGGTAAAGTTGCAGCTCACATGGGAAAGGAAGGAGATGCTACTCCCTTTACTGATGTTACAGTGGACAATATCAGCAAAGCTCTTCACAAATGTGGGTACCAAATGCGTGGTTTTGAGACCATGTACAATGGTCACACAGGCCGACGGCTTACATCTATGATCTTCCTTGGCCCCACATACTACCAAAGACTGAAGCACATGGTGGATGATAAGATCCATTCCCGTGGACGAGGGCCTGTGCAGATTCTCACCAGACAGCCTGCTGAGGGGCGTTCGCGTGATGGTGGTCTCCGATTTGGAGAGATGGAAAGAGACTGTATGATTGCTCATGGCGCTGCTCATTTTCTCAAAGAAAGACTGTTTGACCAAAGTGATGCATATCGGGTTCATGTCTGTGAGCGATGTGGGCTGATAGCTATTGCAAACCTCAAGAAGAACTCTTTTGAGTGCAGAGGTTGCAAGAACAAAACTGACATTGTTCAGGTGAATATTTTCTTTTTAACCTCATATTACCACCCTTGGCACCATTCCTCCCTCCCTCCCTCCCCCCGTCTCTCTCACACACACAAACACACACTCTGCTTTGTTCTTAAAATATTGCTATGGCGAGGGCTTAACTTTGCCATGTATTGAGCTTTGGTGATTTTATATGCAGGTTTACATTCCTTATGCCTGTAAACTTCTCTTCCAAGAGTTGATGGCAATGGCAATAGCACCAAGAATGCTAACAAAGGATGTCAAACAATCCAAAGACCAAAAGAAGAAAGGAGCTTGATATACTTGGTCTCAACCACATTCAAAGACCCAAGAAGCTTATTGTGGCATAAACAGCTAACTACACTTGCTCAGTTTTCCTAGAGCATTTTGCAGAGTTTGATAGGATGAGACACGTGATTTCAGAAGTATCATTACAAATATAATGGGGTTGCTCTGCTAGTGGCCTGGTGTTTGGCAAGTTGCAATGTCCCGCCACCCTGGTGCAGCTTATCGAGGACTTTGCCTTGGAAGCTTTAAGCTCCCGCTGCATCTTGCAGGTGGCCTCACTTGGGCTGTTTGAAATGAAATAGTATTTTCCATCGGCAGAGGTAAAGGCGTCAGGTAGGATGTAGAGTCTAGATTCTTTCTCCAGCGGTATCAGCTTTCGGGTAGTGGTGGGTTCAGTCAGTGAAACTCGTATTTAGGCTCGCATAGTAAACTCCACTCTTGCCCACTCTAGGGAAGGCGATGTGCTGTAAACTCGTATCAACTACTCGCTTTCTTAGGTCTGAACTTCTAGCCTCTTTTAAGAAGACTGTATGTTTAATCTGTTTACTTTTTTTTTGTTGGTTTTCTATTTGTATAATGCAGAAACTGATTAAATTTCATACCCTTGGGTTCATGGATCACTGTTGAAAGAATTTTGACTTGAAAATTGGCTTTCATTTATATACCTGGTGTTTGGAGCAATATAAGGTTTTTCCACCAAGACACTTCGAGGATGTTTGGTTCGGGTACGAAAATGGGATAGGGGTAATGTTACACTTACCAAATGTTCCATCAATTTTTTTGTCCCATTAATTGTGAAATGTTGGACTAGAAGAGTCCATTTTTTGCAACTAAATATTGAATGGTTGTGATTGCGACAATCAGTCATTAAATGTTACTTTTTATTGTTACTAATCTTTCCGAGGGGGGAGTGGTGGATGGTCACCAAGGTTGCAGCCATAAAAACTAGGCAAATTGGGTTGGTGCTGAGTTCAAATCCATCACCTGTTTATAATTCTTTGGGGGTGGTGACGTTGACAATTTCTTAATCTAGCTTCAGAGGGGCATCTCTTCCCATGTAAGGAGTCTTCAAATTTTTAATTATTTGTAAATTTTGACTCTATTTTATATTAGTCGATTTTATTGATCGGTTACTCAAAAGAATCAAATAGTTCAATGGAAGACTTTTTGGAATTCTAATAATCACTAAAAATTAAAATCCAAAAATTTAGAAACTAAATATTTTATTGATGTTTATGACTTTTTTATATATGATGTATTGATATTTATGATTTTCTTGTTGTACTTTATTGTAATTGTTTATGCATTATCGAATTTATTGTGTTATTAGTTTATATATTATCGAATTTATTATATTTTTTTTAGTATTATTAGTTCACTATGTTAATTAATTGATACACGTTATTTAATTAAATTGTTAAAATTATTTAAAAATTAATAATTAAAAAATATGTGTTAATCGGATTTTCTACTTAATTTCTTACCCGATTGTTTTGGATGAAATTTGAGTAGGAATAATATAATTGATCTGATAAGGTAAGCCAAGAAAAAAAAATTTCGCAAAATATTAGGTAAGATGATGAAATACTATAATGTTTTATCCGTAGGGTAAGGTGAACATGCATATTCGGATGAAAGTAACTCCTCAGTCAGCCCATCTTTGATTTTGGAGATTAGTGTAGCAAAACACTTTGGGCTCGTTTGATAGAGGTATAATGAATGAGCGGATTAAATGTTGTATTATACTATTATTAATTTAATCAAATTTAATACGTTATTTGGTTGATAAATTTAATTTTGTTTTAATTTCTAAAATGTTTATTAATTGCATATTTATTATTTATTTTTTGTACGATAAATCTATATTATGGAAATATTTTAATACCACAAGAAGATGAGGTATTATAATCCAACTCTAATGAATTATTATATGCATATACTATTATAACCCCATAACTGATAAGATTAAGTTGTCGTTAATGTAACAAATACTTTGAGATGCGTTAGAATTGATTGAGAATATTTTTATTAATTCAGTATTAATACGATAAAATAATTTTCTAACCAAACAACGGATTGAACTAAATAACTATTATCCAACACTTATGTTATGTATATTGAACACTAAATAAAATAATATATTATTCTAATATCTCTTTTAATCTTATTTTTTATTTATCTGAATTATATTATATCTATTTTTAATACAGTAACTAAATGAGTCCTCTGTTTATACGAGTTTTTATCTTTGCATAATCTCGATCCATAGCTAGCGGTGTTAATCGAGTCGAACTTCAATCCGATTCTCTCGAATTTACTTTTTGTAAATAAATTAAAAAAATTATTTAAATTCAATTTATTTAAAACTCGAGTTCGACTAGGACTATTTTACGGATCACTCGGGTTCAGCTGCCCTACCTCTCTCTCCGATTAACACACTGACACTCTTTCTCTCTCCCCTCCTGCACCCACGCCCACCCCCAAAGGAGACATTCGGAGAAGATGGAAAGCAAACAAGAGGACGTAGACGATATAGAAGAAGGGCCACCGCCGGGATATGAATCAATTCTTCAAAATCAACGACCACAAACACAACAACACGCCGAAGAGGAAGACGAAGGTCCACCACCTGGGTTTCCTCCTCCACCATTGCCATCATCATCATCACCAGTTCCTCCCGGTGAGTGTCTTATCTCTTTTGCCCTCTAATCTCCCCCGTATTCTCTCTTTTCCAACCTCCCTCCTCAACTTGAATATGTTTTCAGTGTTCCAACAAGTACAATTTTCATTATGTGGATTAGACTACGATGTCCATATCTACTGAAAGTTACAAGTAAATTGGAATTTGTTGCAATTAATGTGAGTATAATACCGAGCACAAATGATGGGATCGATTCTAAATAGCCCCTATTTTCCTTATTTAAGCACACCACACACAGAGGCAAACACATTGGGTGAGAAGTTAGATTGGGATCCGGATCCTGTTGTTCTTTTTTTGACTGCAGTAGAAGTGTTGTTCCTCAAAACTATGCCATTTCACACCAAAACGATATCATTTTATTAAATAGAATGACATCGTTGACAGTGTCACTTTGAGGAACAGCACCTCTGCTGATCCAGACTCGTTAGATTGCGGAATTGTTGAATGTTTGATGTAAGGGGGGATCCCGTAATCTTTGTAATCTGATCAGATGAAGGCCAAACCAGTGGAGATAGTCTAGATTGACCGAACCAGTGGTACCTTGTAAAGCGGCTGTATGCTTATCATTTTTTAATTACCTCGTGATTCTCACGAAAACATAAAACTAATGTTACTTCTAGCCTGCATATCATCTGTGAGTACAAAACCACTACTATCATCAGCGGTTACTTTTGGTGTATCTTTGTTCTTACCCCCTGATGTTACTGTCTAGTTTTACTTTCAAGGTATATTTGTTACAGCATGTAGCATTTATGACATAAGATGCTATTTCTAGCCACATGACTATCATTTACAAGCATAAAACCTCATAACCCTTAAGATTCGTATAATGTCCTAAGAGCAGATAAATCCAATTAATTACTTAGCCAGTGGAAAAAATATAAGGTGTCTTAACTAGTTCAATTACCCAAATACTTCATTGATGCCTAGGGCTTCAAAACTAGTTATGCTTCAAACCCACTAGCTTTAAGGAGCAGGTTTTGCAGATATAAAAATGGAGAGAAGACAAGAAGATACCAAAACTGAAGATGAAGGACCCCCACCTAGATGGCAATCTATCCCTCTACCTCAACTACCGCAGCCATCACCACCGCATACATTGCCGCCGCAATCATCATTATCAGCTCCTTCTGGTGAGTATTTCTCCCAATAATCTCCTCCTTTTTTCTTCTTTCGTTCACACCTTTGCTTTTGTTCTGGTTTTGCTGTAACACAGATTGATTCAAGTGTTTGTGGACAAACATAATGTAATCCTTGAGGCTTGACAATTGAAATAGAGATATTGTCTTAATTAGTCAAATTACTTTACTAATCCAGTAAGTAGTGTTAACTTGCTGACTTACAGATATAGAAATGGAAAGCAAAAAAGAAGGCGTTGATGACGAAGATGAAAGACCACCACCAGGGTGGGAGTCTGTCCCTCCGCCACAACCATTGTTGTTGCCGCCTACTAAATTACAACCGCCACAATCATCATCAGCTCCTTCTGGTGAGTCCTTTTCTTTCCATTATCTTCGTTTTTTACCCCTTTTTTTCCTTGATTTCTTTGTTTTAGTATGGATTACTCTGGAACTAATATTACACGTGTGTGTGCGCCTCTTGCATGTATGCCAACACACAAGCAAAGAGAACTATAAATGTGAATCAGTTGACTTTTCATGTGTAAAATCGTTCTGAAAATTTGGATTTTGTGAAGTCCAGAAAAAGAGTTTTCTTAAACACACTAGATTTTGTATGGCAATTTTTTTTCTCAATGTATATGTTAGTACTTTTGTAATTTTACTCTACACTGTTAATTTTGTTTACATGATTAGGGTTAGAAGTAAAGATCGAAATATCGTTTCAGTGTACCGTTTTGATCAGCTCAAAAATGGAAACGCAATGAATTACTTGGAACAGAGAAAAAATATGAAAATACGTGAAAACACAAATACAATCCATTTGTTTATAAAGATAAGTTTAATAATTGATGAATTGAGCATGTTTATTGGGTTAATATCTGGGCAAAAAACTTCACACGAAGCGAAAATCACTTCAACTAGTTTCAACCACTTAGTTTTAAATTGTGTCATCAAATTAATAAGTAAAATTATTCCATTAATCTCAAAATCATTGCATAAACAATTTTGACACGCATAAATACGTAATTTCATATATTTAGCAAGCAAGATATATACCATAAAATTAATTACAACTATTTAACAAATAAGGTATATTGTTAATATACCAATTTAGCAAATAATAATAATTAACAAGAATAAAAGGAAAAAGGGAAAAAATGAAGGGATTATAACAAGGGTTATTAACAATGAATGAATGATAAAAGGAAAAAAAGGGGGGAAAAGACATTAACTTTATTAATAAATATAAAAGAGCTAACCAAAACAAAAGGGGGGAGGGGTTAAAACAGTCGATCATTCGCACTTGTCAACAAAGTGCATGACACAAGAGAGAGAAAGAGAGAGAGAGAAGATTTGAGACTCACCCGCAAGGCTCATCTTCACCCATCCCTATCCAGATCTGAGAGATAGAGGATGGAATACCCATCCCAAATTTGTAGATCAAGGTAACAAGGAGACTAGATGAAAACCCAATAGAGAAGAAGGAAGAAAAAGAAGAGAAAGGAAGAAGATCATACCTAGAGGTGGCTGGATCTAGACATGGGAGTTGAGGGTGGCTTAGATCTAGACTCAGGTAAGCTAATGAACTTTCTTCTTCTTTCAATTTTTGTGTGCTCTCTGTCTCTCTCTCCGTTTTGCTGAAGATGGGACCCCATGTGAAGAATCTTTCCCCTTTTTTTGGCTCGGAACAACAATTTTCTGATACCGCTCGAAATCAAGTGAATGTTTTGACCGAAACATCACCGTTTCGACCAAAACAATCCGAAATAGTGATGTTTCGCTCGAAACACAGGAATTTTTGTTTTCCACCCCTGTTTCGTGTCGGTATATTGAAAATCCAAAACGTTTCGGATGTTTCAAAAGTTTTGACACGATATTTCGATCCTTGGTACCTGGCAAACATGAATCTCTATGTAATTGATAATAACTATATACATACCATATTGGTGGCTGAGATTACTTTCTTTGTTTATTTGTTGGTTGACAAAAGTTTAACATCTTTATCTTGGTTTCTTAAGGAATGCAGTAATTCAATAGGTTTTTGTGATCTTCTATCACTTTAGGTAAGGATGCTATTGCTGTTTAATATACTTTTGTTTTTAACCCCTTCTATTGTCATGTCACTTTTAGAAATACGGAGTTATATCAGGCAACCATTAATCATAGCTTCAAGTTGAATGAAGTGAGAAGGAAATCTTCACAATTGAACCCCTAAACATGCTTCTCAATTTCATCTGTCTCATGCCCCCCTTCCTCCCAACATATTAACGCACCAATTACAACCTCTAAAATTGTATAGTCTTAAGGAATGCCCCAATAAATAATGGAGAAACCTTATTTACGGTTTTGACAGTATTGGATCTACAGATTATAGATCCTTTGTTATGACAAGGTAGTAAGAACTGCAGAGGCCACAATGCTTACTGGGATATATGGATATTCTCAGCAGAATTAATCAGAATATTTTAGTCCTTGCCATTTGTGGGCCGAGTACAATTGCTTAATGGATATATGCAAAAGGTTTCTGAGATGGGATGGTTGGTTGAAGGGAAGATTCCATTGATGGGGTCTACAACTACTTAGTTGCTCAAACGGTTTTTGCATTAACAAAATCACTGTAAATCTAGAGATCAGTTGGAGGCTTATAAAACTCGATTGTTATGTCTTTTATGAGCCTCCACTTATTGAATGATAACCTGCAGGCTGTGGGTAACTGTTCTCCATGAGCATAAAACTTCGTAATGTCCAGATTTGGAATATCTGTAGGGCAGATGAATCTGATAAATTACTTGACTTATAGATTACCATAAATGGAGCCTTATGTTGTTGAATTCCCAAATACTCCACCAAGTTTGTAGCAACATAGAAGTAGGTGATGCGTCATGTGTATAAAAGTTAATTTGTTCACATCCCAGACACAGAAATGGCAAGCGAACAGCAAGACATCATAGACAAAGACGAAGGGCCCTCACTTGGGTCGGAATCCATGCCTCCACCACAATCGCTGGCACCTGCACCACCCCCAACATCAGCACCAGCAGCAGTTACTTCTGGTGAGTCTTCTATACAACCCACCTATTTTTATTTTTTGTGCCTTTTTATGAACTTGTCAATATGTATTTTGGTTAATTAACACTTAATTGACTAAATCCAATTAAGAAATCAAGTTGTAGTCAATTTGATTTCAAATCATCTTAATCAATATCCGAATCCGATTGAATACAATGTAATTTACACATATTACATGAGGTTAATTAATTACCGTGAAATCTAGCCAGTAATGTTTAAGGTCTGCTGATTTTGATTTTAACTCGGATCTCGGTATTTTCAGTTGGATTTGAACTCATATCACACAACTCGCAGCTTAGCTTAACCCAAATAAGTCGTGCAAAATAAGAAGGTCATCGGGACAAAGCAATATCACAAGAAGTTCCTCAGGCATCTTGAAATCCAACAAATGCTTCTCCATATTTTCTCCTCTAGTTTGTGAATGCCTTCCAACCGTCCCACTTTCTCCTCTTGAGAAAAGCAAGTTTCCACCTTAGGAGTAGCAGTAAGTGAGGTCCTCACTGATAGAGTGTTTCATTAAATTTTTGATGGGCTAAATTTGGCAGCACTGGGCAGAAAGAACCTCACTAAATTTGGTCCTGCTGGGGGGAGGACTAGTCTTACTAAATGAAGGCTATTCTTGTTGCTCATCAAACTCTTGGATTTCTTTTGTCGAATGCAATGGATATTATGTTCTACTGGATTGGGTTTACCGTTTATGTATTAGTTGCTGAAAGTGTTCTCGGCTTCATGTATTGCTTTGTGTTGCATGAGAACACACAAATAAAATGGTATTCGTGATATAACTATGGTGTGTGAATGACATAAAACCTCACAGAATAACCACACCAAATTTGGTAATATCATTTGCAGCATCTTCCAATAATACCTTCTTTAAATGAAATTCAATGATGATATATGAGTCAATTGAGTAAAATACTGCATTGAGAATATGGGACCGATAATAGTTGATTCTTAATCCAACAAGAGTATGGACCCCGGACATCTCAGATATAATATGGAACTTATTATTGCACTACAATGTGACAATGAAATTTTTAAGAGGTCAAAATATCATTCTTATACATTCTTGTTCCGTCTTGGCCAGTTTATTGGCATTGTATTTCCAGGCTTCTGTACTTGTTAAGATTTTAGGACAAACTATTTCGGGTCTATAATCATAAATGTACTCAAGTTTTGAGGATGCAATTTGTTTTTTTTTTTCTAACCTTCTCACTCTGCAAGCTCTGTGCTTTTGATGCAGAAAAGGCTCAAATGGTTTGTGGTTCTTGCCATCGATTGCTTTGTTATCCGCGAGGGGCTAAACATGTTCAATGTTCATGCTGTCAAACAGTCAATATTGTATTAGAAGGTTCTACCCCTCGCCCAATACCTTAAACTGACAAGCACTAGGGCACTTTCTAACGATTTAACTCCACTTAACCCTCCATCTCTTTCTAGTGTTTTACAAAAAGAATCTTCTTATAATATATTTTTGTGTTAAATTTATAAAGTTTCAAGATCTTATCACATCAAATTAGATAGATTTGAATTGCATATCTTGATTCCTTGTCAATAACTATAATTTTCTGTTTTTTTGTCTTTTTGAGTTTTTAGTTTTTGCAAAGCCATTCCATACTGTTGCTTATATCTCTTAGTGGAGGTGAAAGAGCCTTGAAGCACTTGTTTCTACATCTCCCACGTGGGACTGGTGCAAGGACACCACAGTTCTTTTGCCCTTGTTCAATTTTTTTTGTTGAACATGGCTCACAAAATCAATGACGATGAGTTGTATATACATGCATATACACCTAGTCCACCTATTGTCTGAACCAAACTAAACCAAGCCTTATGTCCCAATTATTTGTGGTTGGATATATGAGTCTGTCTTATTGTCTGATACAATATGTATCATATATTTAGGTGAAATATGAAGCTTGAGATTTGGACAAGCTATAGAACAAAACTTGCATGACATATCTCTCATTCCTTCTGTAATTTAGCCTACCCCATATCTAATGTAACACAACATAACACGTTATTGAAAGTTTATCATAGAGAAGTACATTGCATTACCACTGAACCATAAGGCTGTTGAAAATGATGGTTCATATCTGAATCCATTAGCCCTACACACGAGCGTGCGCAATGCGCATGTGAAAATTTTACATTTATCTACTTATTGCATAATAATCAACTTGTTTTTTCGTGATGTTGTGTTTCTAGATAGAGTTATTGATCATTGTTTTTGCAGCTCATCAAGTCGGGCAAGTCAAGTGCGGGAGTTGTGCAGTTTTGCTGATGTATCCATATGGAGCACAAGCAGTTAGATGTTCTTCTTGCGGGTCTGTGACAGATATAGGAGTACGTGACTATTTCTTGCAAAGATATACATGCATGCCCTCATATTATTGCTTTTGCCATTGTACTAAGAAGTACAGACACGAACACAACACGGCATTTCTAAAAAAAAATAGGATACAGACACATTAGGAATACGCTACAAAAAATTATATTTTATATATAATATTATATAATTTATCGCAAATATAATAATAATGATATGCAATTCTTAAAAAAATTCAATATTTTATGATTAGTAACTCTTATGTATAGTCATCTGTGTATTTTTATACTAAAGGATCATCATAATATTCAATCATCATCAATTTTTTTTTGTAGACAATGTATAGTGTACTTAATATATAATTTTAATTTAAATAATTACTCTTATTTTCTCAATTCCTCTTTTTTTTTTAAATTTTATTAATTACATTTCAATGCATGTTTATTGTTTAATAGTAGACATGTCCTAAAGAAATATTTGACACATGTCCGAAACTGTGTCCGAAGAGTTTTAGTGTCCGACACGAATACGCCACCTTCTCGAGAATGTTCGTGTTTCACAACCATTGTATATTGGATTCTTTTATGGAGTTCATTTGCAAAATATATACCGATGTTTGTTTTGAACAGCCGGTAAACTAGGATGTTCGTCAAATTTGCATCCATCTCAAACATCTCTGATCTTCTTGGAGAAAATCAGAATCAGTTAGGTTGTAAATCTATGAATCATATTGGACTTCTGTTCATCTTTCTGATTTATGTTTCTTGTGGGAAGTGTAGGTGCACAATAAGCGGCCACCTCTATCGGTGCAACAGGCTCGGCAACAGCCTCCTCTCGACCCTGTTCATTAGACTTGTATTTATTTGTGAAATGCTCAATGCCATCGCGCACGACGACAGACACTCTGCTGAATGTCTGGAGTTAGCTCATGTTTGTACAAATTATGTCTTGTCTATATATATATTAGTTAGTTTCCGTGCCTGAAGGTACAGAGAAATAAATATATTTGTTTTTGCACTCAAAATTAATCACAAACAAAGAGGAGAAAAAAAAAATTTAAGTACTGATGGTAATAGTGGTGAGCGATGGTGGACGACAGTGGTGGTGTTGGGAAATAGTGATAATTGTGGTGGCTGACGATGATCGTGGTGGTTGTGGTAGCCATGAGTCGCAACGGTGATATGTGTGGTGGGAGGTGGGTGGCAGTAGTGGTAAACGATGACGGGTGGTGGTGGGTGTGGGTGTGGGTGACAGTGGCTAATGGCGATGGTGGACGATTATTGGTGGTGGTGGGTGTTGACGGTGGTAGTGGGATAATGGTGGTGGTTATAATAAACATAAAAATAAAATAACGATGGTGGTGAATGGTGGCGGTGGACGATGATGGTAAACATTAGTGTAACAATCAGTGATAAGTGAAGATGTTGTTGGTGGTTGTGGGGGTGGTCTGGTGGGAGTGGTGACAGTGGGAGTGTTGACAATGGGCAACGGTGGTAGTAAGATAATAAATATAAGAATTAGATGATAATAGTAATAAGTGATAACAATCAATGGTGGATGGCAATGGTGAAGGTGGTGAGGGTGATAGTGACGATGGTGGTGGGATGACGAAAGTGGCAGTGGTGGTAATAGGCGTGATGATGTGACAATGACGGTGGTGGTAGAGTAGAGGCAATAATGGTGATAATGGGGATGGTGATGGCATGTGGTGTGGGTGGTAGTGTTTGGGTGACGATAGTGGGAGTGGCCATGATGACGACAATGGTGGAATGACAATGGCGATGGTGGGGGTGGTGGCGACAGTAATGGTGGTAGTGATTATTGTGACAAAGATAGTGATAAAGTGGTGACAATAGTGATGGTAGTGGGGATGGTGGTGAGGCGTTGGCAGGTGGTGGTAAAATTATTTCAAATACTATTTTTTTTAAAATTATTTATAAGAAGTTATAAATCATAAAAATATTTTTTAAAAATCATTTCAAACAAACTCTTAAGATGTATTTTCTTTATTTTTTATTTTATTTTATTTTTTTGGGGAAGAGAGAGGGGGAGGAAGACTTGAACCTTGACTTCAAAAAATCTTAACCGGAAAAAAATAAAAGTTATCCAAATAATCAATAATATATATTGATTATTTGGATATGACCTAAAAAAAGATTATTTGTTAAAATTTTGATAGAATACCTTGAGTGAGATATGAATTACTAATTTTATATTCATAATTTTATATTTGTCAGGTAAACATTGAATTCAATACTGAATTTTTTAATCGAATTCGGATGAACTTAAATCCAGTCTGACTTCGATCAATTCAAGGCTCAACTCAAACTGCATCCCATTGTATGTGAAGCAATATATGAATTATAACGAAAAGTACGATGATTCACATAATCAAAATAACAATGGGTATACAAAACCCCATAGAATCTCCGATGGCTATACAAAACCCCATATAACAGGAGATTGTGCAGTTAAAAGTTACTTATCGATGGACAAATCATTAGCTACTTTACCTTTTGAGTATTAGTGAAGAGAGTCATTACAGTTGTATGATTGCAGAAGCAGACTTCAATCATCAGGTGGGAAATCCTCATCTGAGGCATTTTCCAGGAATGAACCTAGAGTTTTCCTCAATATGCTGAATGTCTTGTCATCCTGTGAAACAAAAAAATGTGGTTACAACAATGTGTGTGCACGCATGTGTAGAGAGTGTGAGAGAGATGCAGTTAACTTTTTTTTTTTGGATCACTATTTATAGACTCAAACTTTGCACCAAGGGGTAAGACAGAAAAGACATTAACCACTAAACCATTCCTCTTTGCTTGATGCAGTTATAAACGTGTAGAATGGGGTAGAATCCACAGAACCCATTCAGTAAAATGAGAAATTTTTTGGATTGACCCGAGTTTTGTGTATCAATCCTAGATCGAACCCTTTGAGTCCTAACTCCAAATTGCGTCGTGATATAGTACTAACAAGTAGGCCTAATAATTGAGTTGAGTTACTCAAGTTCGGCTTGTATAAGACTCAATTCAAACTAAGGTCGTGTTCTAAACGAACCGAGTTTGAACAATCTTTCAGTCTCATGTTCTAAAAGACTGGATGCGAACTAGCAAAATTCGGCTATTTTATATGTAAAATAGTCGACCACCTCGGGCTCGGTCTAGCTCATTTTCTAACCAAACTGAATTTAAACAATTTTTAGGCTCATTTAAAAAAATGAGCTCAAGCTTAGCTCAATCTTGTAAAGCTTGGTTTGATTATCAACCCTACTACAAGTATTGATACTATAGAAAATCAGTTAGAATTAGTTCACCTGCTTCTTCTTCTTCAGAGACTCTTCCAGTTCAGAAATTTTAGTTGTGCATGCTTTCTCATGTTCAGATATCATACTCTTTTCTTTCTTCCCTGAATCAATGTTTATGTATTTTTGTCAAATTATTTTCCAATAAAAAGAAAAAGGAAATCCTGTTGCTCACTCTGTTGTTCATAACGCAAGAACAGTTGTTCCTTCTCCTCTTCATATTTTGAAATTGTATCTGTCAAACACCAAGAACAGTTAGTGCCAAACACAGCTTAAAGGAACTCAAATGATTCAATTTTTCAATGAATCAGAAAAGACAAAAAGATGAAAGATGCTCTCATGCTCCCCCCCCCCCCCCCCCCCCCCCCCCAAG